GCACCAACTTCTGGTAGGTTTTGTTAGAAGTTTTGTTTGCACATCAATTTTTAGAGGGCCGTAGTTTGCATATATCATTTACCACTACAACATGGGCTTCATGTTTCAATATGGGTCAGGTTAACGTTCACATACCAAATAAGATTTACACGAATAAGATTTACTTTGCACACCTTGTAAATATTTGTGGAGGCATCATTCTCCCACAGAGTTCTAATTCTAGAGAGAACCTTCGTTGCCCTGTACTAAAAAGAAGTAAACACTAGGTTTTTAAATCAGAAAAAAAAGGTTCAAAAGCATCTAGATGTGGCTGAGCACTAAGTATATTTCTAAGCAATGGTAAAACGGTGTGGATGCTATAATCTGTTTCACCTTACAACGAACTGCAGTGGACGCTACGAGCCACCTGGCCAATCCGGTGCTGTGACAATACCACGTGATCATACGTCCCACACGTCACTGCACCCCTCCCGAGGGTCACGTGACACTCCCACAGCAATGAATTGGCTTCTTTAATTGCTCGCAGCGTACTCCATGGCTCGTCGTAAGACGAACCAGAGTACGTAGTAGGGAGCTTGACCAGCTGGCTTTCCAAGGAGCACCTCACTGTGCAAGGGTCGCTAGTGAAGCGACGGCGGCCCGGTGGGTGATCAGGCAGAGGTGAGCAGGTGGAAGTGAGGTGTGAGTGAGGAAAAAGCAGCAGCACCCAGTCTCTTTCCCAGCCAAGCAACCTCCGAGTAAACGGTAGCAGCAAACAGTCAGAGCCGGTGAGGTGGTGCTAAGTCGGGTTAGCCGCGGGACAAGCGGTCAAGGCAGAAACCAAAGGAGCCAGATGTATGTACTGAATTGCCCGAGGAACAAATCTCTGCCTACTTTTGGATCTGGGGACAAAAAGAAAAAGAAATTAAGAAAAAACAAGAAGCTTTTTTTTGTTCCTCAAAAGTAAACCTGACTCTATTCTCGGCAAATAAAGTTGGAAAAACGGGCGGAATTTGTAGCCACTCTTCGGTGGTTTTCGAATTTGAAAAACGAAAACCCAGGAAAGAACCTAGCTTAGCGATAGCTGGACAGTTACAACCAAAGAGAAAGGAAAAAAAGAAAAACTCGAAAATAATCTAGAGCTTCACCAGTTCACTTGGAGGTTTTTTTTTAGTGGGAGTTTGAAAGTAAGAGCCAAGGGCTAATCAAGATTACAACTTTTAGGGGTAGTAGGAAGAAGCAGGCAGAGACAGTAATAGCTCCAGGTTAGAAAGACCTTTATTCAGTACATACATCCTAGTCTAATTACCAAGTGAGTAAAGAACAGGACAGTCAAAGAGGGTCTTAAAAGCAAAGCAGGTTAATTCTAGTGGTGAAGCAAGAGCAACATGATGCACTTAGCACTGCTTCAGGCTCAACAGAGAGAAAAAGCGGAAGAGAGTTTTGTCCGTTTAACAGAAAGGGAGATGTACTTTGAGACAGTCCAAAGGGAAAGAGAAAGGAAGGACTCGGAAAACAGCAAGCGACACTAGAGTACTTTCGGAAATTCTCACTCATCGATGCTACTAATTTGGTCGGGCATCGTTCCCTTACTTACATGCCATTTGCCCCAGTGCCCTGTGGTAAGAAACGACAGGTGGGTTAGCAGCACGGGACCTTTGCTATCAGAAACCGTAAGGAATCGCGACGAGGAAGCAACAAGCGATGAGCAAGGATTCCCTACACAAGCGACAGCAGCATGCTGAAAAGCATGACAGCCAAGACAGTCTCTCGACCACGATCCCCAATGGTGTCACCCCCCGAGCCGACAGAGACTTCGCATGGACATCCACAGACTTTCACGGTACATCACGAGAAACTGCCCTTCCCCGGGATATGTTATCAGCCCTGTGCCTCACGTGTGAAACAAACTAGCGAACACTGATGATTGCAACGGGCATTTTGCCCACAAGACTTTTGCTCCTCTTTATCAGTCGTCACACTCCGAAAACATGTGAAAATCTGTACAGATGAGCAACTGAGAGTGATGGGAATTCAAAGTGTATGAATGTGAAAATGACAGCACAGAAAATAAATATTCGTCTGACTGCAACCAAATGACATGTCAGGCAACCTGCTATGTGAGCACTAACGCACACTGGCACAATGTCAGGTCTATCTCTACAGTCACCTATAGGTGCACTTTATACCCCAACATAAATCCTTTGTGTTGAAGCTCTACTTGAGGGTTCCCATGGAACGAAAAGTTGCAGATAAAACAAGCGAAGCACATACTTCCCTAACTACTACCTGGACAAAGGCTGAACTCGTATACCCTGTTCACCCTTAAGCTGAGGTTGCAGCCAATGCTACAAGCACGGGAGCTCGAGGTCACTGCTTTGAAGCTTTCTTTCGCAGAACAAGCGCTCGCGCTAGAAATGCATGTCTCAAAGCCAGCAGTGCGGGCTAGTTCGCACTTGTAGCTTCGGCTGTAATCCCAGCTTAAGGGTGAACACAGTATAGTAAAGGCAACTGGTAGAAAGCTAAGACCCTCATTCTCGTGTCTAGAGCCGACTAGCTGAGGATTGCTAAAGCTGCTTTCCAATCTTCAAGGTCCCACCATCCAGCCAAGACTAGTCACACACTGCTAAAATCTTCCCCCCCTTTTTCCTCTCACAAGTGCAGTTACAACAGAACGATGTGACAGCAGACTCCTCCTTTCTGCCAAGAGCAACACACAGTACATTTTAGGCCTATCTATGTATAAGTGCATCCTCAGTTCCTTTTTCGCCCAATCACCCTGTTCCGATGACTATCCAAACCGCTCTGTAAGTACACTTCTGTGGAGAGGGGACACAGACAATGTTGCAGCCATGAAGGCCAGAGGGGAGGAGTGGTTAAGAAAATAACTTTTTGGCACCCACAAGAAAAGTATAAAAAATAGGTCATCTGGAAAACAATGCAGTTCTGATGGCCAGAAAAAGTAAATAGAAAAGAACACTGCCACGGACTCACTTGCTCACCTCTACAAAACATGCATGCACCAAGCAGGTGCCATTAATGTACACGGCTCAATATTTACACGGCGTAAGCTACAGCTGCATTCAGAGGAGTTATCGCGGCCTCAATACTCGAGTGAAAGCTAAGAGTCACGGCACTGCCGTCACAGCAATAACGCCCCAACAAAAACGGTAAATGAAACCATCATCCACCAATGGTTTTTTCTGGGGATACAGCCCCAGAGAGAAGGGGTGTGGAAGTCTGCCTAGAGCCCAGATTATCCAAGGAATCTACACAGAAAAATTAAAACAGCTCCTGATTAAAAATAATTCAGAGCTCTGACAAGCTACTCTAATTTTACTACCTGCAATCTCCACTTCTTTTAGTTTTAAAAAACTTTACCTTCAATAATAAAAAAATTAGAAAAAAAAAAAGGTGTACTAACTAAGAGGGGAGCTGAAACGGTTTTTGAGTTTGAAAATGCTGGGAGTTCAGATGTAGGTGCCTTAAAAATAGTGCACACAAAGTTTTCTGTTTCTTTCTTCAATGCCATTAGTAGGAGCGAGATGAAGTTTTTCTGTAGCTTTGCTGCCCGCGGAGCTCAGGAGTGGAAGGCAGGAAAGAGAAAAACTAGCAAAAGGGACATCATCGAAGGTGACAGATGACCCTTGCTCGCCTTTCAGCTCACTCCGAAATTTAGCAAGGATATCACAATGCCTGGGACAGATGAGAAAGAGGCAGCAGGGAGGTTTGACACATGCCCAATGGCATGTGGCAATTGCTGCATGTTTTACCAAAATTCAAGCAGCTAACACTAAATCCTGCCCAACTTTAGTGCGATACCCAAAGGCAAGACTGTGTTTTTTTACAAAACGTTTCAGCTTCCTTTTCAGCAATTGAGCACCATGATCGCACTCACATTGAGCCATTCAAAAAGGAAGAATATAAAATAAAGTGTAAACAAAACATGCTGTACCCCAGAAGCACATCTTGCAACACTTGCTCACGTAGAAAGATATCAGCATACCACAGCACTGTGCACACTGTGCCGTAGTGCCGTAACGGCAGGTTAGAAGGTGTAACCAAACTGAATTTGCCTCTCAAAAAAATTTGCAAAAGTAGACAACCTGCCTCTCGAAACTGCTCAAAGCACAGGTTTGAGTTAACAGTCTCGGAGTGAACACTGCCACCAGCAACTCAAATTAGTCGGCAGAAAAACGAAAGGCAGTACATAGAGGTCTTCACACAAGAAAGGTTGTGGCAAAGGTGATACTTTGTCAGGACCTCTAAGTGAGATTACTCTACAGTGCAATTAGGTTTGCAATATGTCTATAGTGCAGTACCCTGCTAGCCAATGCCAGAAAACCCTGCTCAACTCAGTTACAGTAACTGCAACATTATGCAAAAAAAAAAGAAAACAAACTAAATCTGTGGATTAATTTTAGAAGTAGACATATCTTCCTCAACCTTCTGTATCCTTGAACTGATTGAAAAAAAAGAAAGAGCTTGAGCTTCTTCACAATTACCCACATCACTCAGGATATCGAACACATTTTAAACAATAGTTTCTTTTAGAAGTTACTCTCCGCCAAGCTGAGCTCATGTCACAACCTCCTACAAACCCCAGGTTTTTAAAACTAGTATTAAACAATAAAATATCCCTTAAATAAACCCAGCCAACCTCCAGCTAAGCTACCCTCACAACCTCTCACCCAAATCAACCACGCCGTAAGGTCCACGAAAGATTGAGGCACGAATTGGCCAGGGCATTTTGCCGGCGTTTTCTGCGGTCTGGGCGTACCGAGTCAGACCTGAGAGAAGAGGTTCAGCCGGGGCCAAGACCGCCTAACCAGCTGAGCGAAGAAGCCCGCCTTCTTGGGCGGGGCCCTCTTGGCCCCACCCCGCCCCCAGAGCGCCCTGAACCGCCGGCCACGCCCCTTCAGAGGGGGCGGAACGTTCGAGGGGGAGGGGGGGGCAGGGAGTGCAAGCTGCTCCTCGCTCAGGGCCTCTACCTGGGCCAGGTAGGACGGGGGTGGGGTTACCTGCAGTCCCACGCGGATCTTTTTGGTCAGGGCCCCCTCTGGGAAGATGGCTTGCACTTGGGGCACCACCGTGGAGCTGAGCATGCCGCCCTCGGGTCCCACAGCATGCACCTCCTGCCGGGTGCGGCTCACCACCGCAAAGTACTGCGGGAAGTCCGTCGTGAGGATGCGCGTAATGCGGTTGGTCTGCAGGTCCTCCAGGGCACTCAGTTCTGCGAAAGAGGCCGGGGGATGGGACTGCTTAGAGGACGGTGTCCAGAAGCACGGACGTCGGTGCTAAAGCGGAAGGGGGTTGGCCGCGCTCTACGCGTCGAGCTGTGAAACGAGAAAATCCATGGAAAAGCTGGACTGAAGAGACTATGTTCACTGAAAAGGTGAAGACGACAGGGTGTCCTTTTCAAATGCCCCTCTCCAGCACGTGCCCGTTGCCTTTCGCCGTGTTTTGACAGCACGTGCATGCTCGAAGCTGGTGGGACACCGAAGCATTGCGCACCACGGAAGCTGCTTCCTGTTGCTCTCGTAGTATCAGTGACCATAACCTAGAGGATGCCATGACACTGCTAATGCTGAATGTTGTGTCGTTCGAACGTTGACTATACAGAGACTTTAGAACTTAAGTGATTTCAGGTCCTCTGGTCCAGAATTCGTAAAGACTGACTCAAAAGGTGATAACCCACTAGCAATGCTCTGCACCATTGTATCGTTTCTACGGAAAACTGACATGAATGCTAAAATTAAAATATATTCTGGAAGTTCTACAAGAAAAGCACATAATGGTGCTTTTAAACTCTAAACCAACTGATTCGCTTGGCACCGAGCGAACCATACCTCCTGAATATGTTACTCACGCACTGTCAAAAAAGCCAAAGTTGAAGTCAAAAATTTTAAAAAAGGTTTTAGATGGACTGGTATAGTATTCATTTAAGATAGCCGACAATTATAACAATAAGAGCGATGTGATCGGCCCCAGTCATTTTGTAGCATTTCTCGGAGCAGCAAAAATAACTTTTCGAGCGCAAGCATACATTTAAATACTAGGGTAGGATTCGTGAGTAATTTGTATTTATTTATTTTGAAATAACTCTAGCCACCTATACGGTGTTCAAGGCAAAGGAAAATCACTACTACTGTAAATATAAAGCATAAAAAATGACTATGAGGAAACAGCTTGAACATCAAACAGTTGCACACAGACGGGACAGGACATACACAGAGTTGATTATCAACTATTTAATACTCCTTCTTCCTCCAGCACCTCTTCTTCTTACTCCCTTAAAGCATTCCACAATTGCAAAATAAGATGCATTTTTTTTAAAGAACAAAGCATAATAAGGAGTACATACATAAAAGGAAATCATAGACAAAATAAAAAGAAAAAAAAAATACCTACTACATTAACGAAAATTAAAAATTAAAAATTTGAAAAAAGATTTGCAAATGCCCAAGCAAATAGTTGATAGTCAGCTCTGTGTATGTCCTGCCCTGTCTGTGTGCAAGTGTTCAAGCTGTTTCCTCATAGACATGTACACATCGTGACACTGTTAGCGTGAACACGAGATCGGCGCATTTTCGCATTTTACCTCTAAATAGTATTAGCGAGCACGAAATGTTAACGCTTACATTCTTGAACTAAATGAGTTCTTTCCGTAGCAATAATAACTTGGATGACATCCTTTGGTTTCAAAAAGAAAAACTGGAAAAACCGGCAATCGCTTGTTTGCGCTAACAGTGTCACGCTCTGTACCAACTAGCTCAACTCAAACCGGTAATCCATAAAAAACGAATTTGCAAATGACAACAATGTGCAACAAAAAGGAAACCCTAAATGTTACACTTCCACGAAAGGTATATAAAATAAGTAGAATAGAATGATTTCAAGTGCCAAAATTGTGCTTTGTTTAAGGTTCAATGGTTGCAATAAATCAGTGCAATTTTTAATTCAGTTAAAAAACAGCTTTCACAATTCAATTATAAAAGGCAATAACATTGCATATACTGAGTTTGATGATGACAAAATTTCTGCATGCAACCAATAAATATGCACAAAAAAAAAAAAAATCAATCTAGCCAAATTTGTTTAAAGCTATTCCCAATCCACTGCTCAAGCTAACTGAGTTTTAATTTAATCTATTGACTGTGCCCGTGGAATAGGTGGAGGTCAATATAAAGGTGATCACTAAATAATGAATTTGCAATAAAAATAAACCTACAGCATAGCCTATATTAATCCCCTCTTTATACCTAAATACCTTTCCTCAAATTTTGACTTTGGAAAAAAAAAAGACTAGTGATGCACATTGTGTGACAGGATGTCATATATATATAGCCGCGATTTCATTTTGAAAATATTGTCTGAAAAGCAGAGTTGTCAAACCAGCATTCACAAACTTCCCCTTTTCTTCCCCTCCAATATCCGATACAAGCGGAAGCAGCACCCCAACTGTTTTTCCTTCTGCACGCGGGGGCGCTGCGGCGAAACGAGACACCCAGAACCACGACTTCTATTCTGCGTGTGTAACTTCAATACAGTGCACAAGCGTGCACTGAGAGGTGCACTCATAGGAGCTAATTAACCTGCCCAAACAGACCACAAGCAGTGGTCTGTTTGGGCAGGTTAATTAGCTCATCTCAATACGGCAGTAGGCCGTATTGAGATGACGCACAAAGATAGCGAGCGGGCCTACTCTTTGTTTTTTGCATTGCGACCCGCGCGTCCGATAAGCATCGCCGTTGAGACTACTTAAACAAATGTTCTTTCCAAAATAAACCCTAATTCTTGCAAGCGTAGTAGTTGCTCTCGCATTGGTCATACAGTGGTGACGAAGCACAGTCTAGCATGATGGCTTTCAGCAGCCAAATTCGAGAGTTTGACTTGAGCAGTAATCCTTCCTGAGAGGGACTCTGCTGTGCGGCTAACAAGCCCAAGGAAGAGTCCGACAAGAGGGCTGCGCTACTCAGCTGCTGTGGGCAAGAAACCTACTCCCTGATAGCAACCCTAGTCAAGCCTCTTTGACCGCCGGTTGTGGATTACAAGGTCATCGTCGACGCCGTGAAAAATCGCGTCAACCCGAAGCCGTCTGAACTGTACTCAAGGTACGTCTTTTTGAAACATGACCAGCAAGATGGAGAGTCTATCACTGACTATGTCACCGCCTTGCGTAAGCTGGCTGATAACTGTAGGTTCGGTGAGGCACAGTGTCCGCTTGACATAAAGCTACGCGACCGTTTGGTTTTTGGAATCGCAGACGGGCGTGGTACAGCAGCGAGTGCTGGCAGAAAAGAAATTGACATTTGAGGTGGAATACAAGCTAGCAGTCACATTGGAAACTACTGCTAAACAGCAAAAGGTCACGAGCAACAAATGGCAAGAGCAAGGTCATCAAGAAATTACCGCAAAAGTGCGCACGACGCCGAAAAACACGATAAAGAGACAGGCCGATAAGGAGCGAGATGGAAAACAGTCCAGTCAGCGTTCCGACTAATGTTGTTCTCGACTCTTCGGCAATCACGAAGCAATACACTGCAAGTTTAAGAACTCAGTTTTGTTTCAGCTGCTCGGGCAAGAAGCACATGTCTTAAGCGTGCCGAGCAAAGAAGAAATCACAAATGCAGCGAAACGTCGATGATGCTGCGAATCCAAAGACAGAGTATGGCGAGTGGTGGAACATAAGGCAAGTACCTAGCGCCTCCCCGAAATACGTTGCTATCATAGAAATTGGCGGTGAGACGGTCTCCATGGAAGTGGATTCGAAAGCGGCGCGTTCGATTATATGCCGCCAATGTTGATCACAGCCATGCGCTGGGGTTGGCAAGGCACAGGACACGCACTGAGTTCGTTCGGCTATTGTCACCATTGCAGCGATTGGACACGGGCCACTACCCGAATGCTTCTCGAGCTATGGATTATGATTTGTAAACGGCGCGTTGGCTTATGTGCTTAATAAGTTTAGGTTTCTTTCTACCCGCATGTCAATACCAAGCAGAGGGTGCCGGTCCATTTGGTCAAAGAAAAGAAAACATATTATCACGTTTGCATGTCTAATATTTCCCAATGACATCTGGATACAAGATAACGACTAGTTCTGCAACCTCCAAGACACGCCTACTAACTTCTGGTGTGCCATACCTTCTCCCTCGAAGCTCTCGTTGAGGACTTCCTGCACGGCCTCTTCGGACGCCTCCAGTGTGTGCTCTTTCCATGTCTCCCCATTGTCGCTCCGCAGGATGGTGATCTCGCGCTCCTTGCCACGCAGCGAGGCAAAGTGAGGCACCTCCAGGATCACGGGGCTGCACGCAAGGCCGGCAAGACTCAGGGAGGTTCGCAACTGCCCACGAGACCCAATTAAAGAAAATGCAATGCGAGAAACTAGAAAGTACAGGTTTGGCCAACAATCTTCATGTCAAATGGGTTTTACATTCATGTATTAACCCATATGTTTTGCATACTGTGAATTCTAAGAACCCCATCTAGGAGGTGTCACTATAGGGATAAAAGAAACTGAAGAGATGAGAAATTAACTCTAAGCACTATTTCTAAGTAATGCAAAACAAATTTTGTTGAAATCTCCTCTTAGACCTCTTTTTTTCCCTATATACTTGACTGCTGCCTTTATGTTGTTTCCTCTTTGTAATATTTTCTTTTAATGACATTTCTCTCTACTGTTGTTTAGACCAATTTATTATGGGGAGGCTTTTTGAGTATATATTTTTTACAATATAATACTTGGGGCAACCATATAGAGTGCTTCTCAACCATATAGGGAGCTTCGCTGGATCTCCCCAACAGGTGATCTGCCACTATTTACCAGCGGACAGGTCGGGGCTATTACAAACGAACCAAAGTGCTTGAGCCTCTCACTCATAGAAAGTGCTTCACAAGTCGGGGCTATTACAGACGAACCAAAGTGCTCGAGCCTCTCACTCATAGAGAGTGCTTCGCTGCGACCAGCAGACAGGGCCATTACAAGCGAACCAGAGCGCTTGATCCACTGGCCCCTTGGCAAGAACCACAGCCATGCATCCAATCTGCCACCATATTGAGTACCGCACAAGGGGAAAATGTGACCATCAATCCAATACCTCCTAGAAAGAAGGCCGTAGCGTTCGAAGTGGTTACATCACAATGTTGGAGAAGGAAGGCAATGGTGTTACTACGTGAGAAAATATCGCAAAATATCTCGCATCGACGTGAAAAAAATGTTTCTTGTCAAGTGGCACGGTGGTGTTTGTGCGCGTTTATGAGACATTAATATACATTCTAAAAGCACAGTCTTGTACATTTTATTATATATAATGTAAACGTAATATACAACGCGTTACCAAGGTTGAAAGTACCAAATTTATATTCATGATTATCCCCGTAATCGCGGGACTATGTGTAGTCCCGCAGCTCCCCACACGTTTTAAATGAACTGGCTCCGGTGCGACATTTTTTTCCCTCAAACGGGCTCCGATTCTGGCAAATTTATGTTGTGCGTGAGCTGCTAACTGTCTGAAAAGGTACGCGAGACATTTTAAAAGGAAAGGGAACCGAAAAAAATCCAGTCATCGTTGCAGGGAGTGAATACGAGCGAGATGGGTCGACAACGTTAAGCCTTTCGTCCCACATTGCTGGCGTTGCTCTCGTGTGTGGTTCTTTTGAGACTTCTTTCCTTCTTCCCGTCGTTTTTCTGTCGTCACCGCAGTCTTGGGTGGTTTTTTGTGTTCGCTTGATACTACAGCATTTATGTGGATTCGCGGAACAAGTCCTGCTACGGTTTGAGTGAGTCGCGACATGTGTGGCAACTAGTCAGCGATGACACTGGTCGATTATCGATAGACCTCTCTCTCGACAGAGAGAGACTTCTTGGAGCTCGTGTTCAAACGTTTTCGTGGCGGATATCACGGGACGTCTGGATACGATTGACAGGTGAAAAACAACTTATTTACGGACTTTCTTAGTCACGTAAAACGCAAGTAAAGTGCTGCAGTCGATTTTTTTTAAAATATATTTCGTGATAGAATGGAGTCTCGTTCTTCGTCGTTATCCGTGTGCCATTGCGTCGACATTTGTAAATATGCGTGGTAATATTCTAGTTTTCACTGGAAGGCGAATAACAAGTTTATGTGATTATACAAAGCGCATTGTTTGTGCTTGTGCATTTATTTATGCTGATGCTATTTTATTGCCTTTACCACGTTTATACTAGAATCTTAACTGTATTAAGGTAATAGTATTATTGTATACAAAATAAGTTATATTTTGTTCTAAGGCAGCTTGAGCCCATAGGAAGAAGTAAATTAGTTGACTGTAAATAGTAAGTTTAGTACCCCTGCCACCCGGAAAAGTTAACATATTTTCATTAAATGATATGAGATTTAATCAGCTCGTGGTCTTGAGTGATTATACGAGCGTCGCAAGCTGATTTGTCGATCCCATAATGTCATTAGATTGAAATTACATTAATTTTGCCATGTGGCCAGGGTATAATTCAAGAATTCAGTGACTGCACGTGATGACATCGCTTACATGATCGCAAGTGACACTTGTCTATAGTCTATACTCCATTTCACCTTGTGTTGTACCGCAGGAAAGGCTACAAGTGCGAGCTCCTTGCTCTGGGACAGATATCGGCGGCACAAGCTCTCGTGCATTAAGGGCAGCTGCCAACGCTATGAGCTCGCGCTTCTAGCCTTCACTGCGGTACAACATAAGGTGAAACGGAGTATAGCCGTGTCCGCGTTGACTACGTCTACCTGATTTTTAACTGTAATCTGTTTCGCTGTGTCCAATCACTGCATGTCTCGCCATTTTGTCGAAGTATTTCTCTACAAAATATGCATTCCTACAGCAATATTGCGTGACTATATGTTTTCAACTTAAAACAATCCTATTTTTCTATAGACGTCTTACATGCATACCTTGTGCCATTTCATACTGATTAGTTAGCGGTGTAAGTTAGTACGTCTTTTTTACAGGTTTTACTTCAATGATTATCTACATAAGCCATTCATCTTGCCACCTCATCGCATATCACCCCGCATCGATCAGTTGGCCTTCCATTCACTCGAAATAAAGCATTCCTTAAATCTTTTTTCCTGGCAACCTCTGTAAACTGGAACGGCCTACCCGAAGCCATTGTCTCTGTTCAAGACATTGATTTGTTCCACCAAATGCTAACCTCGCTATTTTTTTTTAACCCACTCCCTTATGTAATACCCTGAGTCAGGGTTCTTAAGAAATTTAAATAAATAAATAAAAAGCCGAAACTCAAAGTTGGTGATACTGGGAGATTACGAAAATATAAAAGGATTTTTGAAAAGGGTTACAAACAAAAGTAGACGTATTACAATTTAGTTGATATGAAAGGACAGAATATCCTGGTCACGATTTAGGAGCAGGACATGGTGAAATACGTTCCTACAGGGTGATTTTTGTATATAGTAGGTATTCACATTATTTCTTGAAAATCACTTTTCAAGGTTGTGGGTCCAGAACTCTCATTTTCTATACTGCTTATGTAGAAGCATGAAGCCGCCTTAGGCAGGTAGCACGATGTCCGAACCGTGTCAAAAGGAGAGGTGTCAAGGATAGACAAGATAGAATGGTGCAGATCAAGATCAACCAAAAGCTAACCTTTAGATCTTCATCGCTGCTAAGAAGGATCTTCCAGTAGCCTAGCCCTTCGTTATGTAAAGATTATTACTAAAAGTATGGAATACTAACCGATGTCCTATTTTAAACGAAATGAAACTCCCAATATTTCGGGCATTGTTGCGTGTTCTGACCAAGAGACCGAGCGGGTAAAGACCAGTTCATACATACAGCACAGTGCTACCTCAGCGTTATTAGTCAGTATTAAGGTGGCGATGCAAGCGAGTTGGTTCATGACTTCTTAAATTGGAAAACAGCGCGCAAAAAGACGAAGACGACGAGAGAAGAGCACAGGACAAGCGCTGAAAACTGAGCCCACCTAATGCTGATGCAACACTGACTGTGCACTTTTCTCGGTACACAACACCGACAGTGCTTACATAGCACCGCATCCGTGTTAAGTGCAAAGTAGCACAACCTAGCCTAGCGTCGTGTATTTTTGACAACTCATCACTGCAAGCCTCCCCTCCCTCTCCTCTTTGAGACAACAGGAGCACCCACCCGAGGAACTTGGCCCCGGCAGGCCCCACTTCGAGGATGCGGGAGGCGCAGGCCTCCCCTTCGAGGAGCGGAGGCGGGTGGGGCAGCTTCTCCTTGCGCAGGTAGCGGCAGGTGATGCGCATGGGCATCTGGGCCTTGCGGGGCGGGATGATGACCCGCACGCCGGAGTGGCGGCAGCCGCGCATGGCCCCGCCACGGGCGTCCACCAGGAAGCTCACCAGGAACCTGGTCGGAGAGCGGCGATGCAGCACGCGCGCCCCGAGGCCGCTGAAGTCCCGCAGATCCTTCTAGTGCAATTTCAGAACCTGCTCCCATGCGCCCCGCTTTTTCGTTCTCCCGGAACATTTAAGGGCTGGTTTGGACAGTTGCCTCGGTCGTGTTCAGAGCGACAGAAATGAGGGCAGCGACAAAGTTGCTGGGACAAGTGTTTGCCACACATAATGTGGCAAGAAAGGCAGCTTCGGGAAGCAATTGGCAGTCATGAACGTTTTAAGTGTCCCAATCATTGCCGTCATTTCGGCCGCTCTGGCAGGCACAGCCGACACAAATGTCTGAACCAGCTTAAGGCAATAAGTAGCATAGATGTACCATGTAGCAATGTGGTGGCAGAACTTAACCCTAAAACGGGTTCTTCTCGCTTCCTGACCAACAATATCCCGCTGATATTTCTTTCCGCACATATGTCACATACAAAAAAGCAATGCAGCATTCTGTGCATTTTATTAGCTTGATGGCTCGCGAAATCTAGTAACCTCTAGTCCATTCTAGCAGAATGAGCATGTTCTCTTTACTTTAACGAGTGGTGCTCCCCTATTATAGATATCCTCAACCTAGTCTTGGGGAATCTTCCATCACGTTGAACTTGAACCACACTTCTTTAAACGCAATAAAGAGTGATGTGAATGTGCTACATGGTAGTAATTATGAGGTCCTCGTTTAAAGATGCATGCACTGCATCAGAGATCAGAGAGCGGGAGATTACTGTGCCACTTTTCTTTTATACAGTGACCTTGGGTGTTATCGCACTGCTAAATCTGAGGTTCAACTCTGGAAATAAAAAAGAATGCCTACTGTTTTCCCCGTGGATCTTTTGTTTGTTTATATCTCAAGTAATGACTCGCGTAAGAAATCTATAACGTAACCAGTAGAAGCTCTCGCCTGGACAACAGGGTTTTGATAAATACAGTATAGACCACTTACAACGTAACCGTTTATAGTGCAGGACCGGGTATAACGCGGTTTTTTTAAACCACCGGTTCACCTCCCATAGAACTCCATGTAATTACATACCGCTTAAAATGCAGGCGCGTGAAGGGAAATACCGGTTATAGTTCGGTTTTTGGCACAGCCCGCCGACCGCGCCGACGACCGGAGCAGCGAGCTCGCTTCCCTGTGCGACACTAGATAACGTCGCGAGCCACAAGCTGCACTCGCGGGGCAAGGAGGTTGCTCGAAAACGCGGGGAGAAGCGAAGAGAGAGGCTTCAGTTGCCATAGCGACGGAGGGACGCACGCACGAGTCGTTCATGTGTGTGCATCCCTCCGCTGCGTTGGAAACAAAGAAACAAACAACCGCAACGACAGACCAATCGCAGGTCGAGAAGTGTTCGCGTGCGTTGCATGCCGGTGTGCCGGTCGCGAGCCAAACATGGCGTCGGTTGTGATCGTCGTCGTAGACGGCATGCATCTCATCGTTCTGCGTAAAAGCGCTATCCTTGGGCCCTAAACTCGTCAAAGACAAAGTTGGAGCCCAAAGTTCGCGGGGCGCGCTCATTGGACATCGGCGAAAGAAGCGCGAAGTCATCGTCCTGATAAGCCAATCAGTGCGCTCCTTCAACTTCGGCCCCAACTTTGTGTTTGACGAGTTTAGGGGCCCATGACGGTGAATTTTCGTTGTGTGTCGCTATGATAACCCAGCACGTACTAGAAGGGAAGATTTACCTACTCGTGCGGCGATGTCGTGACGGCGCTCTCAAGACGGCAGAAACGCCCGTGTCGTCGTGTTTGTTTACTTTGACTACAGTGGTGATTTCTAAGCATTTGTGTCCTCAAACATCGCCCGGATTTCTTATTTGGCGCATTTCATGCGTGTGCTAAAGTTCAAGGTATTACTGGCGCGTACCGTATGAAGGATGCGAATTTTCACGCGTTTTCATCTCCGGAGAAAAGTGATTAGGGTTAGCAATCCTGAACGCTCGCAACGTCCGTCCACAACCCGCGACGCCGTTAAAAGGCTGCGCCAGGCAAATGCCGCTCATTTCTTTCAAAATGTGTGACACACTTGAGACAGAACTGTACTAGTCTGGTGAAATAAAGACTTTCCTCAAACTAAGCTTTATTTTTCATCTAACATAAAATAAATTCTTTTAGAAAGGTAAGTTGCCTCATGGCATGTATTTTGGCCTAAAAAATTGATGTTTTGGTTATAGTGCGGTACCGCTTATAGTGCGGATTTTCGCGACTCCCGAGACATACGTTATATGCGGTCTACACTGTATTCAGATAACGCCCGGTGAATAAACTCAAGTACACTTGAAACTCTCTACTATTTCTTTCTCATTCAATATTGCTATATACCTTGATTTGACAAGACAATAAGCAGCAAACATGGCAGACTGTTGATAAACCCAGTTTAGGCCACATTTCCAAGATTTAAGCTCGCCTTCACGTTGAACCCGTTTTCATACCTGAAATGAACACCCTGACTGTATGTAACCTCAAACAATTTGTGAGGATGCCCCATCACATTACCACGATTATGTCATCATCCCTCCCCAAAACACAATGCAAACGCTCTGGTCACAATAATTAGTACATTTTAGTACGCGGGAGATGCGCCACATACTGTGGCCACTGACAGGGTTAGAACGGCAGGGAGGTCATTCGGTTGTCTAGCCCCCGCGTGAGCTCTCTACTTTTGACAATGTTTTGGCGTCCTGTCAGCCCAGAGCATTAGCTTCAGCCAGGTGTCCTGAGGCTGAACGCATGAGGGCGTCCCGTCAGCATTGACCGTGTGACCGAAGGAAACGTCCCGCCGTTCTCACCTTTGCAGTGACCATAATTACTTTTCACAATTAGTAAATGTTAGTAAATGGTTAGCATATCACTTGCACAAAGTCACTTTCCTCATAAAATCAAGGTATGCTAATATATAGTATAACAACAGTCTCGGACAGCTTGATACACGACAAATGTTTTGTATGTATGAGGCACAGGCATGGCAACATATACAGTCGCAAGAAATTGACATTTGCTCGCTATTCATAATAAGCTCTATACAGCTGCACAAAGCACTGTTTGGTATACTATTTTGTACAGTAGGCTCACAATAATTCAAACTCTGATATTTCATACTCCTGGTTAATTCAAACAAATTTAAAAATTTTGGTTGTCCCAATAGGTTTTTAGTGTAGCTATAAATTTTGGTTGTCCCAATAGGTTTTTAGTGTACCTATTCATAAGCCACCTAATTTGAACGGCGTTCTCATGTAATTCATTTTTTTTTTTTTTTTGTTCACAAAACCCCATTTCTTTCTGAGCACCAGTGCACTGCAGAGAGGCAGGACCCACAGAGCTTGCTTCTGGGGGTTGCGGGTGTTGCTTCTCCACAGTGCACCGGAGCTTGGTGAGAAGCGCACTCAACAGGGTTCAAGCGGTCACACATGGCCTATGAAAACGGGCACCACGCAAAAATTTCTGTAGCAACCTGTGCGGACGCTGTGACGTGGTGGCATTTTCTGTGAAAACTTCTGCATGGTGCCCATTTTCATCACTCGTGTGTCCCCTACTTAATAGTCCACACTAAACAACTTAACCTAATGAACAAACTTATTTTTGTTTTGAGTTGTCATGTGCTGCCTAAACAGTCCACAATAAACAACATTTTTGAGGGATAAATAAACTGATGTCATACATTTCAGAAATGTCTCATGTGTGGCATACCTGCCTACGATCTGTAGGCCTATGTAGAGGAAATCATCAAATATCTGCCTTGTATGTATAGCGATTGATATGGCAAATCATAATTTCATCTTGCATCATATTTAGATCAATTTCTGATAATTCAAACAAAATTTGTGGCTTCCTGGAGTTTGAATTAATGAGAGTCTACTGTTTGTCTAACATACTGGGGAAACATCTGTACTGGTGAGTCGCTCAATGGTCTCAGCATTTACGGCAAATCTGCTAGAAAGAAAGTGGAGAGGCAGAGTCGTAAGGTCCGCACGTGGTTTGCTTTCCATGAGGTCGCAATAGCTGCAGCAGCAAATGTCAAGAGCCCCACTCGAGAGTTCCAAGAGGGTTAGAACAACTTACGTCTTCCACTTTAGCTTGCTACTTTGGATCCAAAACGTGCAGCGGAAGAAAGCGGCCACAAAAAGGGTCGGAAGGAAAAAACAGACAAGTTAGGACGTCTGCGCACGGCCAAGAACACGGGAAAGAGAGCACAGCCAAACGTTAGTACACGCACCATGCCCAACACTGCAGCCTGCTCCAACGCTTCAGCCAACGACACATTCACACACACACACAACAGACACAAGGCTGATCGCACTCCTTGAGAATGGCAATATGCCGACCAAATGATGGCCGACAGGATGATGCATCAATCCAATCCTTCTTTCTTAAGATCTTGTTTTTTTAGCGTAAATGGATAAACACAATACAGTGTTAGGTATTTCCTCTTTTGCAAGCCTTCTTTCTCTCTCTCTCTCTCTCTCGTTTTCAAGGTCTGCTTATAACAAAAAGGAAGGAAAAGTAAGGATTGGGGGACAGACAGAAAGACGATATACAAAGTGCAAAACAGTAAACACTAACAAGAGATTGCCGGTTTTTCCTGCTTTTCTTTTGCAATTGAGAGGCTGTCACCTAAACCACCAGTGTGGTAGAAAGTGCCCATCAGAGGCACCAATTTAGGTGGTGAACGTCGGTGCTCGTCACACCATATGCCTGCCCAATTCGCGAAAAAGCACCGATTTCTTGTTTGCACTAAATGTGTCGTGCAATGTATATTTATTATCATTGTGGTTTCCCCTTTTTATTCTCTATGTCCTCGTACTTCACTTAAAAACTACAATGGGGCTGGGTTGTCACAGAGAAGGTGTGTCTTTAGTTTCTGTTCCCTTCAGGTACTTTCACAAAAAACTACATGCAGAAGGAGAGTCCATGAGACACTTAATTATCTTCAATGCAAAACCACTGGCAGTCTAAAAGACTTCCATTCAAAAACAATCAGCTGCTTTATTTATTTTACTCCATCAACAAATGCTTAAGTCCTGGAACGTCGGAAATTCTGGAGAAGGATATTTGTGAGCTTCCTGTATAAACCTTCATGTCCACAAAAAGAAAATAAAAAAATTTAACCTTTGTGGTAAGTTATTTGATATCATAATGTGGATATACAGGGTGCTTGACTTTTAATTTGAATATATTTCTTAAAAACAAGAGGAGAGAGTTAGATGAGTGCCGTCTTTATCATGTATTTATCGAGCTCGGCGGACATTAGATGAGGAAAAAATTGTCACAGTAAGTTGATTAATTAACGAAAATTTCTTAATTAATTTCTTAATTATTGGTTTTAGGGGTCACGTTGGAATTGCAGCATTGACAGCAATTACTAGGAGAGGCCAGACCAATCTAAACAATTTGCGGAAAGGTAATAATTTTTTTAGATGTAAATCTATCAAATTTCGGGGTTTTTTTTGCCCGATTTAAGAATTGGTAGAAAAAGAGTTCATCAAGCCCTGCCCAGAATGACGCTTGTAAGAGCGACATAGTCGATTAGGTCACATAGTCAATTGCGTCATCGGCGCTCCCACCAAGGACACGCTGCCGAGATAGTGACAACACAATAAAAATGACGTCTCTCTTCCAAGTGTCGCTGTGGGCAAGAGTTGAGATACCCTTTTCGAGCACAATTTTTAACTTGCGCGAAAAAAAAAAATCAGATATTTTTTTATCAGTATCTCTAAAACTATTTACCTTTCTGCAAATTATTTTAAATTGATATGGCTTCTAATAGTAATTGCTGTCAATACTGCAATTCCATCGTGACTACTAAAGCCAATGATTTAAAAGTTAATTAAGAAATTTTAGTTAATTAGTCAACTTTTGGTGACGATTATCCCCTCATCTAATATCTGCCGAGCCTGATAAATACTACGCTATGAAGACAAAACTTGCCTAACTTTCACCCCCTATTTCAAAAAATATCTGTTCGAATTAAAATTAAACACCTTGTATAAAGACAAGCTTTCATAACCCTTTGACGGTCGCGTTTTCTTTCCCAGAGGATGTTTCCCAGTGTTTGGGTTTCGTTTCCAAAGGAAGATTATAAAGAGAGGGACGATACACGGGTTTCTTCTTAATTACCTAGCGGGAGCATGTACAGTGCTTGCAAGCTGTTCGTGTTTAGAAGCGTCGAGTGGCAATATAGAAGGCCAAAAGTTGTCACCCTTCTTCCATTCAGTTTCGTTTCGGTGCGTTTGCTTCTGCAACATTTCGGCAGTTTCAGATTTCGAACCGGAGGTACTTTACAGGGCTTCTCCATGAGGTGGTAAGCTCCCATCCTCTGAATTCAATTCCTAGAAACATCGAAGTGTGAAAGTCTCCAATTTCAAAACTATAAATAGCCCCAGCAGTGGGAAACACCCTGCAGAAAATAAAACGTTTATAGTTTGCCACAAACAAACCTTGTCCAAGGGTTAAAAAGTGTACTTGACAGAGTGTATCTCACCAATGCAAGGAAATGAGGTTATAAGAAACATAAATACATATAGAACATATACACGTAGTAACTCCACTGAAATATGAATATGACCAAATGACTTGTTCGTATATAGTATGTTTCTGCAGATGCAAACTCAATTAGCCTTTAGTGCAATTAACGCAGCTGTGCACAAAATAACAGTGAAGTGTTTTCAATTAGGAACAGAGATTTTTATTGTACCTGCCCTTGACAGGATAAATGGTGATGCGAGCAAAAAAATGCGTGCTTTCTAAAAGTGCTGTGCGCAGATCGGACGTGTGCAATAATCGGTTATATGCCACATGGTCAGAGATTAACGGGGCTTATTTGCAAGTCAAGAAGGAGGGAACTAGTCATAGTGTGCTGAGATCAGAGAATGTAAAAAAGAATTTGCATGTGCACAACGCACAAAAGATGTGGATTATTTCTGTGGTGCCACGGACCTCCCAAAAGCAAATGGATATGAACATAATTATGAATACTGAATCGGGGACAAGTTTCCTTTGATCATGTGCAATAAATATGTGCTCAAACTCAGTTTAAGATGAAAAAAAAATACTTAATATGATGATGTAGCATTTTAAAGAAGCTGCTTGGTCACTTTGCAGAATGCTTAATGCTTGTTCCTCTTGGGTTACCATTGTTTCCATACTGCTTCGATACGAAATAAAGCATGTAGGGTATATAGTATTTATTATTATTTTAAAAAAAATAATGTGCATAGCATGCATTCATTTCTATAAAAACTAGGTTGAACCAATGTATGATCAATGAATTGGCAGAGAAAAACTTTGATCTAGAGTAAATGAATTACAGAGCCCGCTTCCCCGCACCACAACACAATCACCACCCCGCAAAGTATCTCAAAGGCATTAAAGGTCCCGTTTTAAGGAAAATCCATTAATATGCTCATCCCACTCCACCCCTGAGGCAAGCTAGACTATGAACAGCCACAATCACACAACATGTTCTACATCACCCAAACTACAGATCCCCCAGCAAGGCTAAAAGCAGGAAAAGCAAAATAAGCTTGAGGCAGTCTAGGTGCAACGTGCTCCGTTAGGATTTTTGGGAATAATGGGGTTTAAGTGAGCATGCTGGATTAGACACTGCACCCCATGCACCTGAAGCGCAAGACAGAGGAAAAAGCGGAAAATATGCCGCCGTCCAGACAACAAAAGAAGGCAGAAAACTTAAATGAGAAGGTGAAAAGTTAAACAGTACCTTTAAAATTATATACTTTTAAAAACTAAAAAGACTAGTTAAAAAGGAAAATATTAATTTTGTAGAGAAACCAACAAAACGCAAAAATCTTTCCAATGTTTCGGCAAGACCAAAATGGGGGTCCGTACAGCTGCAACACCAAGTAGAAAAGCAAGGGATTTTGTAGAGAAACCAACCAAATGCAAAAATCTTTTCAATGTTTTGGCAAAACCAAAATGGGGTCTAGTACAGCTGCAACACTGGGTAGAAAAGCAAGGCTGAACTGCATGACAGGCAAATGTAACAACTTGGTAAAACATGACTGTGCCTTGCAGTGAACAAAAGAGCGGCAACTGAGGCAATCTAAAACGAGAAAGCAAAAGCTCTGTTCGGCGTTCACACCTTTCACGCCACATGCGTTTTGAGGGTGACAGCAGGTAAGAGGAAGAGCAGGAATCGCCGTCCCAACTAATCAGGGAGCTAAAGGAACAAGAAGAACACATAAAAGTGAAGCCAGGGAAGTGAAAAAAAAAAAAAAACATAGGCACTGAGATCAGCAGTTCTGCGGGGCCACAACAAAATTAAATGTTTCGCGCAACAGAAAACAACAAGATAACAAGGAACTCTGAGATTCGTTGCAGCTGCAAGTTAAAGTTATGAGTAAAGTAGGATATCCTAGGGTTTTGATTAAATGACATTGTTGGCATAGCAACCCATGAGAGTTGCAGATGCAGATCTCAGAGTTCCGGTACGTGGTCAGCAGGAAGCGCTCAAAACTCAAAAGAAGCAAGCTTTAGTTGTGCCAAAGACAAAAAGAAAGAACCACAGTGGTTACTCAAAAAGCAACAGAACATAAAAAAAAAGCAGTGGTGATGGTGAGGAACTGCCAAAGCAAAACATCAAAGATCAGGCAGATAGTCTCACAATGTTCAAAAAACAAAAATAAGGTTATATTCTTTCAAACAAAAAATAAAAACAATAAAGCACATTGTTACACCCCATCCAAAATATACAGGGTGTTCTTTTTAAGCTTTACACGTTCATTAAAAAAAAATGCCAGAGACACTTAAGACTGCTTACATGTAGGAATGCAAAAGCATTCCTATGCGCAGAGCATTCCTACAAGCAGTGCGCCACGTCTTCCTTTTCCAGACGGAACTCCGGCAATGACATCCCGCTCCCCCACTGCGCAGGCGCGGCGTGTTTTTCTTCGCGCTTTATTTTTGAGGCGCATTCAGTGGACTTCGACCTCGAGCGACCAGCCGGCTTCCGGGACGAAGCAGCTATATGACGCGCCACAGCCAATGGGATTTTAAATGCCGTTTCGCTCAGCCAATGGGCATTAAGGTGCCGTTTTTTGCCACTACAGACAATAGCTACAGACACTGCCGACTTCGTGCCATGGGGCAGTTAATGCTTTCACATTAAAAGCCACAAAAGGTACACTAATGCGGTCTGTGCAGATGAGGTATAAAGCTAGGGGGACATAATATAGCGGACTAATTGCCATGATAAGTTGAATAAGTAACTAAAATTTGTTAATGCTCTTTTTAACTAGTGAAAATAAACATATGGTTCTGCAGAGCCACGCAAGCACGTTTTCGCAGCTTTGCTCCTGTTGCGCGAGGGGCAACTTTAGCGCAGCACCGCACTTTCCAAGCAGTTCAAGTCTCACGAAACTAGTCTTGTGCGAATAGTGGATTTTGAGTTCGAAGCGAATTCGAAGCGAATAGTGGTTTTGCCCGAATATTTTCGATTCGAATATCGAATAGTTTTTCCACGTCTTTCACTACCATTGCATAATACTTAGACAAAAACCCAGATAAACTTGTGAAGGTTGTTCCACCTGCTTATTTATAAACTAAGTTTAATCTACCTATTTTTATAAACTGTGACCTCTGAAGGTCTAGTGTTATACTCTTGCATAACAGATTAATTTTGAAACTTTTACCACAATGTAGATAGACACATTCACAAACTTTTCATTTATTTTCGAATACAGTCGGCACAGGTGCACCATCCCGCTTTGAATGTATGCTTTACCTCCAAGCACGCAATTACAATATTCATACTTTTCCAAGTGTTTATCGCGGCAGGTTACCCCATTGAGTGCGCTTCTTAGCAAGCACCGGTGCGCTGCGGAGAAGCAACACCCGCGGAGCTCGCTTCCGCGGATATTGCTTCTCCGCAGCGCACCGGTGCTTGGTGAGAAGCGCACTCAACGAAGCTAACCCGCCGCAATCAACACTTCGAAAAACGCGAATAGTGCAGTTCTTCTCGAAGCGAATATCGAATAGTGTATCATTCGGAACTACTATTCGAAATTTCGAAAATTCGCACAACCCTACACGAAACGTTACTAAATTAGTGGTTTTTGATGATGTTTAGCAATTTTCTAATTGGAACCATGCGTTCATCTTCACTAATTAAAAAGTTGATTAACAAATTTAGTTAACTATTTTACTTACAATGACGATTAGCCTCCTACATTATGTCCTCGCGGTTGTATAACTCACCTGTACAGATCGCATTAGTGTAGCTTTCGCAGCTTTTTTAAAACAAATCTGTAAAGCCCCAAAAAAGAAACACCCTGTATAAACTGTACATTCAACTTGATATACTACTACTAGAAAAATGTTTGCAACAAAACCCCATGATTACTCCCTTAATTTTTTCCCTTTTAAACAAACCCTTCACACAAAATGTATAGAATATTTCAGGTTCATAACCCTTGGTTTATTTTGGTTTTTTTGCTGTATCCTTTGGTTTAGGACCCATATAAATTATTCTAGAGCATTACACCTTTCCTGCAGGAAAAGCTATAGGTGCCCAAATGCATAAGAAATAATAAAGTGAAGATCTAAACAATGTCAAGTAACTGGTAGCAATAAAATGCATGCAAACAAGAATGCAACCTTATTGCATTTATTTGTACAATTGATCCCATTGTGGAAGAACTTAATTACGGTAATGCTAAATTAAATCTGGGAGCAATGCTAATGAAACAGTTCAATAAAGAGACCACCACAACAAAGATAATGGCATACAAGGATTGCATGTCATAGAGGCGATTAAAATCGAATGAGTTATTTAAGTTCCTTAGGTGTCCTAGAGCTTTCAGTTTTATAAAAAGCTACAAGCTACCACTGCAGAAGCACATATGGTTTTAGCCCATTTTCTGGAGGACTGCCAAAGAATATATAAAACCATCTGCTTTCAGGACTCGTGTACAAGACACAGATGGTTTCTATGAGGGTGCAATGATAAATCTGATTTTGGTGTTGCTCGATATTACGAGCACAATGATCGAGCACAATGATCAAATGCCTGTATGCACACGTGATAACCTAAAGCCACTGTCCAAACAAGACTACCAGTTTTTCCTCGCTATAATGAGGCTTCAAAGTAAACACAAAGCTTGGATTCGATGCTGAAAGAGTCCCAGAAAGCTCACCCAGCATGGATGGGTGTCCTGGAGATGTCCACGTTGTCGGGAGCGTAGTTGCCGACGAAGACTGCCTCCGTCTGGTGGGCTTGCGTTGGAGAGAGCCGCTCTTCCTCCTGGGTCAGCGGAGCTACATGCCCTGCAGGGACAAAACATCCACACACTCCAAGCTCAGCGCACTCTTATATGCTCAGGGGACTAGCTCATTCCTGCAGCAACGGCCACGGCAAACTTTAACGAATGCCCTTTCGAAACTGTAGATAGGTGTATTTCATTCGTAAATACACATACCGTCCATACCTCCCCACGAGCCTCAGACATGGGCCTAGTATTGCAACTTTTACGGCTCTTTTTTGGCATAGCCGTAAGTGCAGTAGGGTTGTCTACAGAGCCACCCGCTCGAGTTCACAACCAGTGAAAATTACATCAGCCCTACTCACTATAGCACCAAATGGACTAGGAGAAACACAAGACGCAGTCAGCACTAGATATTAGAATGAAGAAAGAAATCTGCGGTAAGACAGCAATTACGATGCAAACAAATGCTGCCTTTCTGTAACACTCTACAATGCTTAGTCTCTAGTGTAATGTGAACAAAGGGTCCTGGAGGACCCCAGATGGTCGATCCTCACCAGGCTCTCGGCCGACATGAATGGACTCCGTGAGGCGTTCGTCTCTGGTAACGTCGATGGGCAGGGAGTCGTCGCCCAGAGACTTCATTTCGTCGGCAGTAAGGTATCGGAAGGACTGGTCCCCCAGCATGTTGTCTTCCGCTGAAACACAAGCACAGCACGGTATGGTGATGAGCCTTTTTCGCACGGATGACAGCTGCTGCCAGAAGGTTAAAAAACGTACTCCAATGCCCCTCACAAAAGAAAAACCACTATAAATATTTTTTCAGAAGACAGCGGAAAAAATAAAATTATAATCTGGGAAACGATAACTGACAATTCACAGGAAGAGGCTACAGGTGGAGACAGGGAGCTACTCTTATGAAACAATTTATTTTATGTAAGCTTTTACAGGTGTGAGGAGATACCATATTTACTCAAACACTGGTCAACATCTTTTGTTAGCATTGTTTTATAAAATTGGGAGTTTAGATCAAAGTTTAACGTAAGAATGTTGAAGTATAAAAGCCAACAAATATCTTGAGCCCATCAAGCCAACCCAGATGATTTCCTTCATCATGTCAGTATTCCTAGCATGTTTGTGCAAAACCGCAAGGGTGAGCAGAGCAAAGAGAAGACGGCAGCCATGTCGGGTGCCAGATTTTGGAAGTAATAACCAGGAAGGCAAATGTAACGAATGGGAAATTAACACATATTCCCGTGGGAGCTCAAGGGGACTAATGTTTGTGAACATAAAAGCCAGAAGAGCTTATCAACCACGAACACATCTAGGGTTCTATTGTTTCTGAGTTTATTTTCCATCAAATTCGCAGGGTGTTTTTCTGAGTTTATTTTTTGATGAACATTCAGAGGTTATAGGAGTTTATATTTCTTTGATTCATAATTTTCCGAAATTCGAAGTTTAATTCTGCAGTGTTTTCAATTAAAAATAAATAAATCATATCTAAATGTAAACGCATGCCCGATAAAAAAAATAAAATGTCTTTGTATCAATTACTATTTCTTTAGCTAGATTTGGCATGGGTGCCATTGCCATTGGCAATACTATTGTCCTACGACAAAAGTTGCACACAAGTGCTGCTTCGATAAACGTTAATACAGTAAAACCTCGTTATAACAAAATGGGATATAACAAACTAATGGATATAACAAAGCAATCATAATTCCCCTTGCTTGCTAATAGTATGGAGAAATGGACATTGGCTATAACAAACTAATGGTTATAACGAAATAACTACGACCGCTCCTTCAACTTTGATATAACGAGGTTTTACTGTACCTTAAAATCAATTAACTCCTGGAGGTAGTCGCTGGGAAGCTAGTATTCCTCCCACCCTATTCCATCAACCTATCCCTTGGCTGCGTAAGGTGGAGTGGTAAAGGATGTACAAGAGAAGTTTTAAGTGCCCCTCTCCCATTTTATGCAATCTCTTTAGTCCGTAGCTTTCACCGTTACAAAAACATAATCTCTCCTTCATCTAAAGCAGCGGTTCTCAACCATTGTTGTTTCGCAGACTTTTGGTAGATCCGTGGAGAAGACGGAGGACCCCATTTGTGATGAGGGGAAGGGAAATGTGTAGGTGAAATATGATTCAGTAAATGGATATAACTAAGGGCTGGTGTGAAGTAGACTTCTCCTATTGACAGATATACGAGAAAACTCACTTGAAAATTGGAATGTTTCTTCTCAGTCTGAGAAAAGACAACTCGTGGATCCCTAAAATGCCTTTGCAGACCCCAAAGGGTCCGCAGACCCCCCTATGAGAACCACTGCTCTAAAGTACAAATAGTAGGGCCTAAATTAGAAACCAAAATTGTGCCTTTTATCATGACCCAAATGTACAATGACATGTTGCCCAGAATGAACCTTGACGGGACAAGCAGCAAGACCCCTTTTGACAATGGTCTGAGATTTTAAAGGTAATTATGGTGGCCTTTTCCCAGGACCATTGACCCTGCACTCATCAAATTGTAAAATATCACCTTTTATTAATTTTGTGTGTGTGTGTGTGTGTGTGTGTGTGTGTGTGTGTGTGTGTGTGTGTGTGGGGGGGGGGGGGTCACATTGGCACATCAAAATTTGGAATTTATCAAATAAATCAGAATTGACCAAAATGTTACCCCAGTGGGTGTTTTTCAGTTTTTCAGATTTATTAGAAAACATGGAACCCTAAACATATCAATGAGGCTCAATTTACTGTTTAATAAATATATAAAGTAAATCTTGGTTAAATTTAGTGTGAACAATGTTGTGCTGAGTCATTCAGGGATGAAAAGCATGCAGTTGGAGTTGGAAATAAATGTTTGCTGTAACAATGGTTTGCCACAATAAGTAGATTCCATTAAGATGGTGAATGTTATTTTTATGTCTATTTGTTTCTTAGGAAAGTATAAAAACAAAAAGTGCTTTTAAAAGAAGTGAGAATTTAGTAAAAATCAGTCTGCTCCATTACCTCCTTCGTCTTCGGAGTCGCTCATGAAGGTCTCATGCATTGTCTCTGGGGCAACCACCTTGTACTTCTCTTCGGTCACCGTTGTGATGGTGGTGGTCACTGTGGTCTCCGTGACCACCTTGAGAGTCTCCACAACTGAGATGTAGCCCAAGCGCTGGGCGATGGAAAGCGCTGTCTGCCCTTGCTGCAGCCAGAAACACACAAGATTAGTTCCCAAACACCTGAGCACTGTTTCTACTGGAAAGCCAGAGGGATATTGAAAGGACACTCCACTCCAAGAAGTGAGGAAATAAGTGATAGCAAGTCACACGTTCTGGAAGCACAAACAACTATGATTTATGCTCTTTCTGCACACCTCGATACCAGGGAAGGATCGTAGACAATCATAATAATATGTGTATTATGTGTTGTGGTGCTTGACTCAATAAACAATATAACATTTGTTAATTTAAGATTGTTCCTAATTAATGAAACATTCAAAGCACCAGATGTGAACATTTGGACACACAGTTGAGGGGATTTCGGTCAAATTTTCGAACCAAAGAACCACAGAGCTCTTGAAAAACTTCTGCCTCTGTAAGAGAATGTTCCAATGCTAACCTTGGTGGTGGCATTGGGAGAGGCTCGATGCTCCAAAAGGAGGTTGATGATGAGTGTGTGTCCTTGCTGAGCTGCTTGGTGCAGGGGAGTGTAGCCATGCTGCATGGAAAACACACTGCTGCAGTCTTCCACAGTTATGAAACCTTGCGGAATTGCCAATCAAAAGGACAGCACTGGAGGGAGCACTAGTTTGCCTACTGATACCATAATATGGGCATCGCAACAAGAGCATGACAAAAAGCCCATTTTACACAGAGGAGCCGACATCCAATGTAACCTAAAAGCTCCCACTGCAATGGCAGGAGCAAACATGCAAGATTCACATCACCAGAGTCCGACAACCTGAGAGGCAGCTCCATCCAAAGGAGGGCAGCACTCACCGTGGTGGTGGCATTGACGTTGGCTCCCTGTCGCAGCAGGAACCGGATCATGTTGGTCTGTCCAAAGTGGCATGCCACGTGCAGTGGTGTGTAGCCAGCCTTGGTGGTGGGGTCAATGGTGGCCCCACTCTTGGCCAAGATGGCCGCCACATTCACTCTGTCTTCTTGGGCGCACAAGTGCAGGGGGGTGAGGCCGTTCTGCAATTGAAGCAGGTGCCAGACATACTTGAGGTTTCCAAGTGGAACTACAACTGCAGAAGGAGTGGCATATTTAGAAGATTGGAAACCTACTTCAATGTAGATCCTAAAATCCACTATTCATCTTAAAAAAAAAAAAAAAAATCATAAATGTTTTTTTAGGGCGAAGCTGTTTATGGTTAGGGTTCCATAGATTTTTTATGCGTGTCCATAGATTTTTTATGTGTGCCTCTATCTCTATGCTCGCAACGCTGCACGTGCATGCTTTCCTCGTACAAAAAATTCAAAGTAAATAACCAAAATAAATCATCGACGAACGCGCATGCAAGATGCCATTTGTTTTAGGCTTTTGCTTTAGAACGGTTACTGCTGCAGACGCCGGCACATGCGGCACATGGAGCACCATTCCCTGCATCCTCCTTGATCTTTGGGTAATTTAGCAATAGGTCTATTCAGTAGATTAGGTATCAATAGCACCATTCTCAAGATCAGTAGTCTCTCAGGTAGATGATAAAAGTTCCTCAAAGATAAGCCGCTGTGCGACCCGCGTCAGCCCTGTCTACGCTCGCACCGCACCCCCTCTCTGTCGTCGTTCCAAGCGCTTGTGTGCCTAGTTCCCTTCCCTTCCACTCTCCCAGGGTGGTGGTCCCATCACGGGTGTTCACTTTCCGCCAAATGGTGTTGCCGTCGTGCGTGTCTAGTTTCCTCCAGCTCCTCGGAGCAGGTCTGTGTCGTATGCTAAACAGCTTCGCTGGTCATCCACCTTCCCAGAATGGAATGGCTCATTTTTTACACCACCTGTTTCTACTCCTTTCTGTTTCTCTTTCCACCCCTTCCTGCTCCATACCCTTTTTCACACCACCTGCTTCTGCTCCTCCTGTTCCTATGCACTGGATCCGTAGGTCAGTCAGCAGCGTGCTCGGCTTCCACGGCGGTGACTGGGGTTCAATCCTTGGCACCGGTTGCTAATTTTTTTTTAGATTGTTTAGCAATTGTAGATTGACCGACCTACATATTTCATGCTTACGTTGCTCCTGAGGTCGGTTTGCCCTATAAAACTACCGCTCTAAAACGAGGGTGCAGGTAAGCTGGTGAAGTCTCTGGTAATGTCATTGTGACTTTACCAGAGACTGAAGTTTTACTACAGGATGACACCGACATTCAAAAGTCTGAATAAAAGACTTCTATGTGTTAGTGTCGTCCTGCAGTAAATTCCCAATCTCGGGTAAAACCACAAGAAACACGCGCAAAATGGCCCTGTGTTCGACCCAAAAGAGGAGGCACCGAGGCGGCCTTACCTTTGCCTTGGCGTCGCATTCGGCGCCATGCTCCACGAGGAGGGCAGCCAGATCGGCGTGTCCCTCCTGAGCGGCCAGGTGGAGCGGGGTGAAGCCAGCTCGGGACTCTGCCCCAGGGCGGGCCCCGTACTCCAGCAGGGAGCTGGCAATGTCCATCTGGTCCTTGCGGGCCGCCACATGCAGCGGGGTGTATCCGTTGCGGGCCGCCGCGTGTGGGGACGCCCCCTTCTCCAGCAGCAGCAGGGCCACGTTGACGTGGTCGTAGTGGGCCGCCACGTGCAGGGGGGTCACTCCGTTCTGCGGGGGGTACGCACCACCAGATCCCCTCAGTCAGATGGCCACACTCTATGCCCGAAAGTAATGACCGTGCTACGTACAACACACATCCCTGAAAGGCTCCTCCGAGTGCAGAGCCTGGCGACGTAAACGGCAGTTTTTACATTAAGACTGCAAGTCACAGTGTACAACTGGAAGGTATCATAGTGGGCCACAACTTGAAAAGGGGTCGCTCTATTTTGTGAGGGCACACACCATCTCTCTATCTGAGGGCCACACTCAATGCCGGGGGGGTAACGAGTGTGCTAAGTATGAAAAGTAGTTCCTCAAAGATGGTTGTTTCCTACAGGTGTACATAATGGGTGTCAGCACAAATGAAAGCTTCTCAGGTCTTCAAGATTGTCGCTCATAAAGTGCAACCAAAATGTATGAAAACAGGCATAGTGTTGTTAGCAAATTATGTCACTACAAATATTTATGCATGCTGGTAGGGGATTTAATGGACTCTACTAAATCCCCTCCACTGTGTGTGGCTGTTATGGAATGATATATACTGTGCAATCCACTTGTAACGATACCACATATAACGATGTATTGCTTATAACAATGAGTCTCTAGAGTTTCTAGTCTAGAAACGATCAGAATCTAGTCCAGATACCATAATCTGTTGCAACGATTGAAATTTTGGGTTTTCTTATTATCGTTATAAGTGGATTGCGCTGTAGATACAATGCTTTTAGAGTATACATATATTTAAAAATGCAGTGGCTAAAGCAGGCTTTTCTAGGGCCCAGTTGTCTCACCTTGCCCTGTGCATCCACAGGTGCATCCTTCTGCAAGAGCAGCTTGGCCACCTTGATGTTTCCATACTTGGCAGCCAGGTGTAGTGGGGTGAAGCCCTTCTGCAAAGGTCCAAGGCAGACACACACTGTCACATCACATGAACAAAAATACAAGCTTGCTAGGGCCAAGCCAACATAGAGAGGTTTTAGAAGGAAGAGAAAACTCTTTTAAAAAATAAAAGGCACTAAGTCCAGGGCCAGAAAGAGGTTTTAGTGTTGACCCACTCAGTTCCACTTCTAAATCAATCCAGCCAACTGTTGCAATTGCCTCCACAGTTGGTCTTCACAGCATTGGCCTTAGGCACAACTGCAATACTGCAATGCTGGGCAAGTACACAATTCAGTGTCACAACAGCAAAGAACACAATGAGCTGTAATTAATAGCAATAGCAAAACCTAGACGCGGTAAGGAAAAGAAGAAACATTCCCCCGAAGTTTGAGAGTAATGCGGAGACCAAGTCGTCTGTATCTTGCGCATGAATTGCGGTGACGTCAGAAAGACGCCAAGCACTTATTGGCTCTGCTTGAAGGATATAGTGGGTAGACTTCAAAGCAAGCTGCATAGTCACCTTGGTCGGTGCTGCGAGGGCTGCGCCGTGATCTAGCAGAAGGGCGGCCACTTCGTCCTGTCCTTCCCGGGCAGCCACGTGCAGCGGGGTGTAGGCGTCCTTGGTGGGGGCGTCCACAGCCGCTCCGTGTTGCAACAGCAGGCCCACCATGTCGGCGTTGCCCAGCCGGGACGCTATGTGCAGCGCCGTCTGCAACTCCTGCGCAGCATTACAAACCCTCGAAAGCTATTTGGGGTAGAGCCACAAAAACACGCTAGTCGCAAGCGGGTCTTAAAGGTAACAGCGAAATCACGAGTCGGTTGTACACGTTATGAACGCCAGGTCACAATTTGTATCCGGAGGCTTCATGCAAGTCCTACGAGCCATGGCCAAATTTCCCGTCCATGTGCTAGCCCCAAATGTAGCGCATGCATTGTGCATCCCGATGAAGATTAGGAACAAATCCACCAAGACATGGAAGAGTAAAGACAAAAAAAAAAAAAAGAATAAATAAAAAATGCAAACAAGCAGCGTACAATTTCAAGATTTCAGCAACCTACTGATAACACGGCCTCACACACCAGTAGTCTAAAATACCTTAGAAAAAACGCTCAATATGCATTAACTGGGAGTGAGTCTACTTTCTCAAAGAGCCCTTGAAGTGCCAACTGTGGCAATGTTGCATAAGAGCTACAGTAGATAAACAGGCCCAGAAATGTATGTTCCTAAAAATATCTGTCCCAAATTGAGGGCATGTGGAACGCCATGCCCAGTGGAAACGCAAAACAACAATCTTGCACAAAACGTTTTTGTACAAGATTGGTAACATCCTTTCACATCGTTAGCTCACCCTTCTGTAGACAACCACAATCGGCAATCCACTCATCCAAGCGGGAAATTAGACAGGTGGTCCTCCGTTCGCAAACAATGTCAAACGAGTAAACACAACAGTAGCCACTGGGGCAAACTCGCGTGAAAGCCGGACCCACCCTGGCCTTGGCGTCGACATGCGCCCCGTTGCGCAGCAGGATGCGTATGATGTCCGTCTGGTTGGCACGTGCTGCCAGGTGCAGCGGAGTTTCCCCGCGGACCGTCGGGATGTCTGGGTTGGCCCCGTGCTGGATCAGGTAGATGACGATGTTCATGCAGCCCATGAAGGACGCCACGTGGAGCGGGGTCAGCCCAGACTGCGTTGGAGGAGAGGGAAAGGAGTCGGCCACTCGTGACTGCGGCCCTCCAGAGTTTCGTCTTGTTTGTTCACACTACCAAGGAGTCACACTGAATGGTCCCTTAGTCGTCTGCTGTGCTGACTGACCATAAGAAGCCATAACAGATGAAATCCACGCAGTTTCTTGAGACTCTGTGAGTTCTGTCGTCGTTCGTCTTTTCCCCAGTCTTGGAAGTTTGTCTTTAATTATGTCAAACCTTCACCAGCTCGTTTGTGCCCTAACCTTTTGTTTGTTTCTTATATGGTCACTGAAAGGATTAGAGTGGCAGAGAGGTCCTTCAGTTGCGTTGCCTCCAGCACGGACTTAACAACTTTGACAATGCTTCAGCACCTTGTGGGCTTTGAGGGCGAGTGCGTGAACTAAGTGCGACAAAAGGTGATGAGCGCACGCTGGAGGTAGGGGATTCGGAAGAGACGCCCTTCTCTTCTCATACCGTGAACGACCATAGACCATTTGAGTGAACAACTTGCTCGTAAAAGCATTAATGAAATTGCAGCTTCAGATTTTAAGAGCAACGTTTCTAAATCGGCACCGGAAGCAAGAGCTCTCGATTCTCCTCCGAACACTCAAAGTAGGCCTCAAGACTAAACATGGTGCTTTCTGTGCACCGCTTCATACCATTCTTATCTGTATGTGGCTGCAAAACCCTGTCTCTAAGCCGTAGCGGTGTAAAAAACTGAAAAAAGTGTGAGTAAAGAGGCTTTGACTTGGCAATGGATATTTCTTGATGGTATCCTCCCAGGCATGCTGATAAAGTTGTGCGTTAAAAATGGACTTCAAAGAGTCAAAAACCAACGAAAAAGGCCAAATAAGTACTATGGTACAACTCGCATTGCCCCCAACAAAGAAAAGTGCATGAAAACTGCCTAGCAACGCAGGCGAAATATGAAGCCGAAGACAAAGATAGCTTGGGTGCAATTCTGTCCAATGCACAGGCACAAGCCTGCAGCTTCGGGAAGCAGTGTGGCTGCACATAGGGCTACAACGATGAAAGCCCATGCCAGCTTGCACTGCATCGCCACAGCCGAAATAAATTTAGTAAATCCCAACTGATAAAAAAGAAAAAAAGAATGATGTGCGGATTTCTTTTTACTTTAAAATTCAAACTTCAAAACATCCTCTAAAAAAAAAAAAACATTTGAAAAAACTTTTAGAAAAAATACTCCAGCCTTCTTATCCATCTTGCAATTATAAAAGTTTGCCGACATTATCTTCAGTGTTCTTCTTAAGTTCAAATTTGCTATTAAGTTTTTCTCATTTCTATAGAGGACATGTACTGGCAACCTGATTGAAATCCCACAAGCTTTTACAATTTGGAGGATCAGGCAAACAGTTTGAAATTCTGCGCAACTACGTAGCCTTCCAAAAGAATGCAAACGCCGCTTGAAGCGTCCAAAGTTCCTCGGACTTAGTGGCATCAAAGAGACCGGGGGAACTATGAGGTACTTTCTTGGGCTCACAAACTCGAAGAGAGCCTGTAAAGAGGCCCGTGGAAACTAGCAATCACCTCGGTGGTGGCCTCGATGGAAGCTCCGTGCTTGAGCAGCAGCTCCACCACCTTGATGCGGTTCTTCTTGCAGGCAATGTGCAGGGGGGTGAAGCCGTTCAGCGCCCTCGCGTTCGGGTCGGCCTTCCGGTCCAGCAGTAGCTTGGCTACTCCCACGTGGCCGCAGTGGGCGGCCACGTGCAGTGCCGTCAGGTAGTCCTGCGTTCACGTCGCACAGACAAAGGTTCAGGCACCGACAAAGACGACGAGCCCAAAAAGGTGTTGAACCCTTTTGACCGTTGCGGCCCATTTTTTCGTCAACTACTTCATACAGTAATTCAACTTTACCTTTGGCAATAAACGATTGGAACATACTACCAAATGACATTGTTACCATAACTGACACACATTAATTCGCCGCCTCTGTAACCACTTTCATCTCTTCATTATCCGACTAGTTCCCTCTTCTATTGTGTTAAAATTGCGTGCGGAAGTGTTCGATTAAGAAAAATAATAACAAATGTACCACTCCCTTGTGTAATGCCCGTAAGGGCCTTCAAGGATAATAAATGATGATGATGATGATGATGATGATGATGGTGGTGTGTAGATGTCCTACATGCGCTCACAAACTATGCGAGTCTACGAGGATCTCTCCAAGACAGGTGATCGCCATGTTCAGTTGCATCTAAGTTGCACGGATCTTCTTCAGAAACTTTAGAGACAGAGTGTAGAGCATGTTTAGGGGCTCAAAGCAAGCGCGCAAGTAAAGGTAGCGGATAAATGACGCACTAGCTACGTGAAAAGCTCGCAAAATCATGGTTTAAAATCTGCACGCTTGATGGCCAAACATTAAGAGTGGCTAGACCCACAAAACCTTCTATCCCTAATGCAAGGTGCGCCGTTATGTCAACATATTAATAAAAATTATTTTTTGCAACTTGGAAGCACTTCTTTTTTAGCCATAATGCGCATGTTGAAGTTATTGAGATGTGAGAGTGATGTCTACCTAGTAGTGTTGTGCAAATATTCTAATTTTCTAATTGTGGTTTCAAATATTATGCTATTCTATATTCGCTTTGAGAGGAACTGCGACATATTTTTCTAAGTACTCATCAAGGTGGGTTAGCCCCGTTGAATGCACTTATTACCGAGCACGGGGGCAGTGCAGAGAAGCAACAGCCATGGAAGCAGGGTCTGCGGGTGTTGCTTCTCCACAATGCACCGGTGCTCGGCAGGAAGCGCACACAACGAGGCCATCTTGCCGTGATAGACACTTCGAAAAGTACAAATATTGCAGTCGTGTGCTTAGGAGAAAAGCACATCTTCAAAGCGGAATGGCATGTGCACCATCTTGCTCCTTGGTGTATTTAAAAAGAAACAAACTTTTTGAATGTTGATATCTGCACTCCTTCGTAAAAAAAACTGTAGATAGTACAGTCAAACCCACTTATAACGAACGTGATAGTTCTGCGAAAAGTGGTCGTTTTATCAGTAGTTTGTTATATCTGGACTTCCCTTTAAAACATTATAAATAAGGAAAATGAAGCTGGTATAGGTAGTTTCACTCTGCCAGCTCTTTATTTAAAGAAACTGTTTGCACGATTCTAACGGGCCCCCAATTCTAACGCGATTGCAGATTTAGCTTTCAGATAAATAAAAAGTAAATTGCTGCCGATTCTACTGCACAAGTAAAATAATGAACGTCGACCACATACCTCATAGAACTGATTTTATGAAACGCACTCCACCACAAGAATAAATGCCGAGCATTAGATCGACGATGGTTCTTCGCTGTCTACAGAGATAATTACTTGCTTTGGTCTAAAGCGTTTTAAGTGCCGTGCTTCTTGCGCATGTACGAGTGCGCGGCCGTCGCCTCTGGCAGGGTCGTCTTTCAAACAACACTTTGCGAGCTCGTCGGGTGGCTGGGATTGCGAGCCACACAGTGCTGCTCCGTTGTCATCTTTTTCCGCCAGCATGATGCCCTTTCGTTCAAATGAAGCCTCTTGGTGAATTTTTTTCCCCCATCTTAAAACGACAGACACGAGTCCGTAGTCGCGAGAAAATGTGCATGATACCAAAATGGCGAACGTAAACAAACTGTAACAATGGCAATGGGGCTAGTCAACTTGTACCGAACATTGAGCTCTTCTTGAGCTGCATACAGTTTGCATAGAACGAACGCGAACAAACGAACCAACGAACGCAGCACGGCAGGAGAGTTGACCCTCGTCCTCCTCTCCTTCCCGCGCGCGCACAATGAGCAGACTACGCGACCCGAGAGGACGTTTTTGCTTTTGTAGTTCTGTTTTCTCCCCTGCCGCGATGCTGTGAAAATGACCTTGAGCGTCTCGCGGACCGCCACGCCTGAAACCTCTTTTAATCTTCGACTTTTTTTTTTTTTTCTTCCCTTTGTTTTTTTTTTTTTGTTTTGTTTTGTTTTTTTGCGCGCGGGAGTTTTTTATTTATTTTTTTTTCTCTTTCGAAAGCAGACTTTGTGTTCGTTGTAACAGTATGATGCATTAGAAAAACGGTCGCTTTATCTGGACCAATTTTAAGGGGTAGGGCCTTGAATTCGTATATTTTCTGAAAGTTGGTCGTTATAACCGATAGGTCGTTATATGTGGGATCGTTATAAGTGGGTTTGACTGTATATGCAAGAGTATATGTTAGGCAGAGATTTCCTGACAACCTATATTCATCCTTCATGATTGTCTTTCTCCTTTTCTCTAGATTTAAAAAGGATATTTGCATAATAGCAAAATAATAACCTGGGGGACGCTTAAGCTTCGCCTTTAAAAGTGGAAAGCTATGGCGTCATCGGGCCCCAGTCGCAAAGCCGCCTCATTAAACTTGCGTTTGTTCCCAAGCCGTGCAAGCATGTGTGCGTGGTCTAGTCGGTAGCCTCACATGTTTTCATTTGAATTTTCCCTCCAAACTTGGCGGGAAACTTTTCTGCTAAATTTGGCAAGAAACCTTTTCGCTGTATTTGGTGAGAAAATTTTCCCGTCAAATTTAGCGGGTCAATAGGGTCATGACGTCACAGCCACGTGCGACGTCACACGTGGCTGCGCACGTTGCATTATGGGTATTTTTGGTCCACCCGACGCTGGATGTTTTGCGACACAACCTCATATACACTTAATTAATTTTTATAACCCCCCCTCCTCCACATTACGGTAGGTACATCTGGACATTTCTATAAGTTCAATTTTATGTCAAATGTATAATTTACCTGCCATCCCAATGTAAGCGTTAAAGTTTCTGAGGCCACTGTCCATTAATAGTTAGATTAAAATCAGCTTAGCTTACAAATCGACAGGTGGAAGCTTGGAAGCAACATTCACGAGTTCTGTTGCCTTTTCATTAAGCATGGTGCAGAACTGAGAGGCTCGGAGAAACTTTTCGATATTCAATTCGAAAATATTCGGCCAAACCACTATTCACTTCGAATTCGGTTCGAACTAAAAATTCACTTTTAACGCATGACTACTACCTAGATGTCCATCTCGTGAATGACCCAATCATTTCGATGGAGTAGACACCTGAAACTTGTTTTCAACTGTAGACTGATCTTGAGATGTCATTAGCTTGAGAATCCAGGACTACTAGTACACCAGTTTTATGCAGAATGCCATGATAAGAAAGCCAACAAAAGGCCTTTCCATACAAATTACTCGAAACCCGCTGAGCTCAGCCTAAGGGGTGACAAACCCCGATTGCACATTGCTTGAGTTTCAAAACGAGCGGTATGAGTATACCTGGGAGTTTGTCACATTTCAGTCAGATAAGAGCTCAAGCAGTTCAAACGACTTTGTAGCAAGTGGAAAAATCTCACCACGGTGACGTCGTCGACAGGTGCCTTGTGGTAGAGCAAGATGCGGGCACTGTCCACATGGTCTCCTTGGGAGGCCATGTGAAGTGGGGCCAGGCCATTCTGCAAGAGCACAGAATGTTCCGTTAACTAAGTCAGCAGAAAACTACACGCACTTCTGCACATGCGCCAGAGGTATCCCTGCCTCCCGCATGAAGCACGGCTCCGGCGTGTCGCCGGCAGTCGAGCTCAGTCAATGCCATCTCACCTTGGTCTTGGCAGTGATGGGGGCATTCTTCTCCAACAGTTGCTCTACCACCTGGTCGTGACCGCTGCGAGCCGCACAGTGCAGAGGCGTCAGTCCATCCTGAAACCGGATCCCGTTGCGTCGTTTCACACAAAGTAAGGAGCATGCAGCATCCAAAGAAAGGAGGCTGCAAAAGCAAGTAGGGCTACAAAAATAGCATAAGGTCCATAGCACTTTCTGGGCCTTCTTACTTTTAAAGGCTGCTTCATTTCATTCCGAATATTTATGTGTAAAATGAAATAGGGCTGCCACACCAAGAGTAACAGGCCTAAGGGTTATTGCTGGGGAAAAACAGATCATTTCAGTTTCGTCCTCTCGTTTGCCTTCCCACACTTACGCAAACTATCAACCAGCTGCTCCTGCATCATTCGCATGAAGTGCGCAATGCACGGTACATGTGCCACGTGGTAACTTTACTATGGCATTTCAAGATGTCTGTTAGATAGTTCAAAGCAGTTAAGGGGGGACACTACCCAGAGAAAACAATTTCTGCAAAAAAAAAGTTGATTTTGAAAAATGTCATATTTACATCTACCAACATCTGGAGATTATTCCCAGAAAGTTTCGTTAGTTTACACTGCTTAGTTAATTTTGTATAAGTTATTTTCGGACCACCGATGCTAAAGAAAAGGTAGAGGTTGGAGCACTTTGAATACATTTTTCTCCATTCCACTTTTTGGCATAAACTTCCCATTAGGAAAACTATTGTTTTATTACATAATTTGGATTTATTTTTATAAGTTTTTCTGGAGTAAAATTTTAAGAGAAAGATAGCTATGACCTTGAATTTTTTATTTTTGTCAATTTTCATGCTCAAGAACTAGCATTTTGGACAAAGGATGGAAATCTAAAAAAACAGCAGTTGTGTTTAGTGGCTTTTTTGTCATTAAAGATGGTATAATATAGAAATATAGCTCCATAGCTACCTGCTCTGAACTGTTCTAAAGCAATATTACACATGAAAACGACAAACTTATAAGTAATTTCAAAACGATAGTTTTTTTACGCAGACAAGCCCACTTTCATCTTTGACCAATTCCAACTTTTTTTGTACTTCACCCAGGTTTAAAAAAATTGGCACAAATGTTCTCAACATGAGCAGATACAAGCCCTCTAAATGTCATTTAAATCAGACAAGTGGTTCAAAAATTCACGTTTTTGGGTAACGCCCCGCCTTATTAATGACAAAAAAAAGGTGCACAGTGAGTGAAACAGCAGCACGCCACAATTATGATGTGGTTGGGAATGTGCTGCAACTCAATTGAAAAAGAATGTAGTATATCAGAAAAATGAAATCAAAGCTCTGGGCATTTATCTGGAGGCTTTGTTAAAAAGTGTGCCTGAATAGCCTAAACAAATATATACCCTCCTGAAAAATAAAGCCTATAAGAATTGTTTTCTGTGTTAATTTCTAGCTTTTCAAAACCGTTACCATTTGTTAGGTTTGCCCACATTGATAATGTGGATGCTTGGGCAAGTTGGTAATTCATGCTTTGATTGAACAGCGCGGATGAACAGTCACACTCACATGGACACAAAAGGAGACAGGCTCGCAGCGCTGCGAGTCTGTCTCCTTTTGCGTGCATGTGAGTGTGACTGTTCATCCGCGCTGTTCCATCATTGCCCAGATTATGTATACATTTAAAAGCACCTGTCAAGGGCCTCTGAAAAAAGAGTATCGTCAAGGTTCTAGATATGCTTTTTAAAAGTGTTCCCATGTGCTACCTTTTCAGATTGACTTTACAGTGTCAGGAATGTTAGAGATGGTGTTTATATTGATGCTGGTGTTCTCTACAAATTTCTCTAAGGCAGGAAGAGAGCATGCTAACCCTGGTGGAAGCATCCATCTTGGCCCCTTTCTCAAGCAACAGCTTCACCATGTTGCTCTTTCCCCATTTGGCAGCAACGTGAAGTGGAGTGATTTGGTGCTGCAACACAAGGCCATGTCAGGCTTCATGAGACATACATGCTTACACTAACAAGTACATGGGCACATGTATTTTGCTTACTAAAAAATATGGGTGAGAAAATATACAGACTTTTTAGTGTGATATGATTATTCAAAAAGTCTGAACAGGCAATTTCTTCAAGAGATATAAAAAAAACAGTCCATTTATACATTGAAAATTTTAAAAATTTACACACACGTAATAGCTATAACTAAAAAACACTGCTTGCTATTTGGTGACTGTTAGTTTTATTAAAAAAGCAGTGCTTCACGTAAGTTTTATGGAGTCTAATAACACTTTTCCATGAAAATGTGAAAAACGGTCATACTCATGCGATGACAGATACAGGCCTGCTTTACATTTCAAATGAAGCTCTAATGTCTATATGTTAATATTGTTCTTGACGTCATTCAGCTAACAACAGATAAATAGCCAACTAATGTCTACTGGTAGGAAATCGACTGCACACATTGACCCTCCTGACGTTAGTGAATTCCAGAAAACCATGACGTATGTGGCACCTTGAATCTAACACAACTCTTTCATAAGCAAAGACCAGATCTCTCTTCCATACAATATGGAAAGGGCACATCATTGTGCCTTATCGAAGTAGGCTAGCGAATGAGGAGGCACAGCTAACATTTTGACCGGTGCTGTGATCCTCAGACTCACAGTTCAGTGGCAACATTTCCAGTGCATATCACATATGTCTGGGTCTAAAAGTGACCCGTGCCTCATCTATTCCCAGTCTCATTTCATTAATCTAAATCATTCCCTCTGTGAATACACCTTGAAAGGTAGACACGCAGCCGCGACTGAAATAAGGGTCGACGCGCGTGCAAGCTACAGTCTGTTGGAGGTTAAGAAACGCGGGACAAGTTTCTCCCACTAAGACCTCCACTCTTTCCACTTTAGCAGAGTGAATACTGGAGAGAAGAAAACCACCAATCATGGCAAGCAGAAAACTTTGTGTGTCCCACTTTTCTTGACCTGATACAGACTATACTGATACACGATCATGCTAAAAAATAGGCTTTTCGCATGGTTTCATAGCTGGGAGCTGGCTTCACTGGGAGAAAGGATTTAAGATGCCATTTGGCACGGCTTCAGAGCTGATGACGTCGACTTGCTCCATAAGACAGTTAATGCTTTCGCATTAAAAAAATCCAGAGAAAGAGGACACACAGAAGGTGGTATCACTGTCTCAATGAACAGCAACTAAGGCTGTACTGCACTCCCCCTTGTCTCCGGATTATTCTGTCCTGATCCCACGAGCTTCGTCTTGTAACCAGCTCAGAAAGCTGGTATGTGCATGGACACCAACACGAAGAACGCAACACAAACGAGCGCTCGTCCGTGTCCCCTTCTCCCTGTCCGTCTCCGTTTGTGCACAGAAGTTTCCCAAGCGATCGTGCACCCACTAGCCCAGCAATACTTCTCAATAATGAACTCGGTTCGTAAATAGGTGCCGCCAGGTTCGGGCACAAAGCGGTGGGCGCACCTTGGCGGGGAAGTTGACGTCGGCCCCCTTCTCGAGGAGCAGGGAGGCGATGTTGCTGTTGCCGTAGTGCGCCGCAATGTGCAGCGGGGTGAAGCCGCTCTTGGAGGTGACGTCCGGGTTGTGCTCGCTGTGCAAAAGCAGGGCGGCGGCCTTGCAGTCGTCCTTCTTGGAGGCGATGTGCAGCGCGGGCAGGCGAACCTTGCCCCGTGCGTCGTTCTCCAGCAGCACCGCCACCACTTTGTCGTGACCCTGCTGGAGGGCCACTGCCAGCGGCGTGAAGCCGTCCTGCACGACACGCACGCGTTTGAAAAGTGATCGCGTTTTGACGCACGGGGTGTGCGGATCAATGCAAGAACAGGAACCACTAGATAAGCTACGCCTCCAAGAAACTTCAGTCATACCAAGAAAACCCCGAGACCATGCACCAGCTCGACTGCACATTAACCCTCAAGTACTTTGGCCATCTTGACGCCTCAGATCATTGTCGCCAGTTATCTAGAGCTTCGCCTGAAATCACAGGAAATGTTTTTCCGTCCTCCAGAAATGCTGAAACAGTCCGCAACGGAGCGAAAGGACGTCGCCTAAACACCCCGACGCCGTGACGAAAGCTCAGAAAGTCCCATTTTCAAACTCTGCCTACACTAGGCAACAAAATGGTAACGTACACGGGACAGTTGGGGAAATGGAGCGTCGATACTCTAACCATAGTTAATTTAGTGGCCTTAGTTGGTACAAGACACAAGGGTAGTCGAAGTTAATAGGAGGAAACACCCTCACCACCCTGAAAGGAACCTCGTGGCAGCCGGCATTTGCTACAGGACGATGTCCGAGACTTACGGGAGGTTCCAAAACCCATATCGTTAGGTCGTCCGAGTTGTTGAAGATCACACAACAGGTGCAAACCAAGACCTTGCTACGTTCAATTTTTCGGCAACAGTGCCGCAGATGTAAAGCAATGCTCCTGTCTGCTAGACTGGCTTCAATGACTACCGTGCCTTGGGGAGGGGCAGAGCGTGTAGGGACAACAGCGTGAATTTTATGCTGATGTATTTCGCTGCCGTAAACATGTGGTCGGTGTTGAGAGGAAAACTTGCAGCTTTGACGAATAGCAGGATGGCCTTCATATTCCAGTCAGCAGGCCCAAAATTCAGCCGAAAAAGTACAACTTAAGAAGGGGACGATTCGGATGATGTAGCATAGCAATATTTTAGTCTACAGAGAATACAAATTAATTGTCAAGCCTTCCTTTACTGGTGCCTCCCTCATAAACAAGCCCATGATGTTCGAGCTCCTCGATCCTGGCATTTTAGTCTCCTCCACTCGGGAAATATGGGCATTCTTTAGCAGTGTGAAGCACCCCACAGGCAAGAAAACAAGGGATGAGAAGTTTTCTGGCGAGGCTCACCTCAGTGGCGAGGCTCTGATTGGCGCCGTGTGCCAGGAGGAAGCGCACCACTGCGTCGTGGTTCTCCTGGGCAGCCATGTAGAGCGGAGTGAAGCCGCTCTGCGACTGCACATTCACGTTGGCCTGCTTCTCCACCAGAAGCTTCACCACCTCCTCCTGGCCCGCCAGCGACGCTATGTGCAGAGCTGTGTTCCCTTTCTGCAGTGAACGGCACAGGCAACGTCGGGGTTAATGGCTTACGAAGAGCAAGTCAAAGCATCTTCGACATAATTGCTGCAAGTATAGTTCACTTTTTTCAAGATGTGATTGAGAAGATAAAGAACATCAGCTTCACTGCATTACCAGATAGAAAATAAAAAGCATTAAGGCAAAAAAATCGGTATATTCAAAAAGAACAAGTTCTTTTGGCCGCAAAAAGACCCATGAGAGTGAAACCTAAGAATCTAGTGACTAAAGCTTCGTGCTAACAAGTGCACACAATCATCATTACTATTTTTCTAGATGGTATAGTGTTAGTGAATGTCAGTTCAATCATGCAGAAGCTGAAGCTCTATTTCTATTTTCTGGATGCAGCTCAAGGTTCAACCTAAGAGGTAGCATACCGTGAATACTACAAATCAATTTTCAGCAGTTATCGCAATCTGACCCTCAGGTTATCATCACCAGTAGACAATCCTGCAGTCACCCACCTTGGTTGCAGCATTGACGTTGGCTCCACGCTTGAGCAGCTCACTCACAACGTTCACGTGGCCCTCCTTAGCCGCAAGGTGGAGAGCGTTCAGCCCATTCTGGACACAGACGGAGAAACCATCACCTTGGCACTCGCACTGTTTCAAATCAACATGTACAGACAGCAAGGAAGTCCTTGTTACTGCTGTTCCACAGGGCACCTCGAGGCTGGTTTGGCGATTTGCGTTGGGGTGTGGCCTACCATGGTACGAATGCCTCAGACTGCTTGGGACGACGTGGTTGCTATGGCAACCTACGTAGTATGTGCAACGCGTCGCGGTAGGATGCAAGGAGTTGTAACAGGATCGGTCACGTTAAATCTCAGAAATCTGAACTAGCCTTCATGTGCAGTTCTTCTTTACATTGGTTTATGCTGTAGATGAGGAATGTAGCCAGTGTGGTACCACTGCAAGCCTGAGGTCTTTCATGCAGTGGGATACATGACCGCACGCCGGTTATGATGCTCATCCGGATAGAAACAGGCAAGCTAGCAGTGGTACTAAACTGGCTAAATTTTTCATCTACGGCATACACCAGTGTCACTGTATCTCCAAGGCAGACCGACCCGTATGAACACGAATGTCAAATTTGTTTTTCTTTTTTTAGTTTCTAAAGAAAGCTTCGATCAATATGGTAATCTTTCCACAACCGTGACTAGCCTAAGTTATTTATGCTTCAATGAATAATCTATGAAGACTGCAAAAGCAGGCTGGTAGCTCCAGAAGAATATCCTGCAGAGAGTTGTTTGCACAGTGGAAGGACTGTACAACCGTGTAAGAGCATGCTTGGAGGTCCCGGAGGAGTGCAAATAGGGTACTTTTACAGACTAGTTAGGCCAACCCATATTACTGGGAGGTTTAAAGGGACACAGAAGGCAATTTAATACCTGTTATGTCTTAGGATTTCAAGGATAAAGATTTCAAGGAAGGATTTGTATTGACTTTTCTAAAGTTTTTTTTTCGATCAAGTGCCACACAGGAAACTTCCATGAAAACTCAGAACTTTCAGAATTCACCCAATGATTATCAATTGGATAGATTCATACCTAACTCTAACTAATCGAAGTCATCAAAGTGTTAAAATTAATGGTCACCTCTCAAACCCCATTCCAGTTTATTTGGGTGTACCCCAGGGTTCTGTATTGGGGCCATTGCTGTTTTTGATGCATATAAATGATATAGTGTACCGGACTCCCCCAGATATTCAAAGCAGGCTCTTCGCAGATTATTGCATTATTTATTCAGCCATTAACTCAACTGACCAACGAATTTCGTTAAATAAATATCTGGACCATATAAAAGGATGGTGCAAAAATTCTGATATGAAAATGGAGCATACCTTCATTTAAATACTGCAGTGGAGATACCGAATTGAGTAATGTAGAGTACCAAGTACCTCTGTGACACTTTCTCTAGAGACTTAACCTGGGCCAAACATATTGACACCATCTGCGCATTAGCATATCAAAAGCTTTGCTTTCTCAGACATAAATTGAAACACGCAACGAAAGAGATTAACACAGTAGCATACTAAACATACATCAGACCCATCTTAGAATAGGGTAGTGTTGTCTGGGAACCTCACGCAAAGAGAGATGTTGACAGGTTTAAAAATATCCAACGACAAGCTGCATGTTTTATTCGTTCTAGCTACAGGCAGACTGCATCCTCAACAGAAATGCTAAAAAAAAAAATTTCCTCCCTTCAAGTTCAAAATGATTGAATAGATTAAATCATTCAAAAACATGCCAAACTTACAGTAGCCAAATAGACACCTTTAACAGTCGTTTTTTGTGAAAACGATTGACGATTGAACAGGCAGCAACATTCTGAATTTATAAACTGTGTCTTCCTTCGAGCATTCCATTGCACAGCTGCTAAACCAATAATGGTTCAAAATGACGTGTTTTGAAACTGCATTTTGTAATGATTGTTTAGGTTAATTTTAGTTTTATATGTTTAGAATGCTACGGTATCACCTCGGGTGCCATTGCATGTTCTAATAAGAATGGAACTGCTGAAACTTTTATGTTTTATATTGGCGTTTCTTCTCTCTTTTTTTTTTATGTTGTTACAGTGATTGATATTTCCCCTGTAATGACCCTCAAGAGAAGGCTAACAATATTTTCAAATAAATAAATAAATAAGGAAGCTAGCGTAATTTTCAAAAAAAAATATTAGATGTCATATTTCCAATGCATAGGTTGCATTTTTTTTTACATTTTTCTTGGTGCATCTTATACAACAATGTCACTTATTTGTGTGTGTTTTTTTAATACATGGTGCGTTGTCATTTTTGTTTCATTGCTGCACGCCACCTTTCGTAGAGCACTGTAACTACATAGCAATTAGTGGTGTTGCCCTTTCCAGGAGGCACTACTGTCGTTGCAATCTTCTACCTCTTCTACACTTTTCATAACACTCTGTAGGCGAGAAATTTTACGTTTTCCCCAAAGCAGCTTACTGTGGATAGGCAAGACAGTAAGAAAAGAGCTTTTACAGCATGTGATCAATGTTGCCTAATTCAGCCATGGTTCTATATTTGTTTGCTTCAGTCCAGTAACACTGAAAAGTGGGCTGCTATATATGTGTAAAAGGAAGGATTGCGGCTAGTCAATCTTTTAGCGGTACCGAAAGTGTGTCAAGGTTTATTTATTTGCCTGTGCATGATGCTCGCATTGTCTCCTGACTTGGCCTAAAGTAGGCCTAGTGGTCCAAAGCTTAGTTCACGAGTACCTGGAGTGTCTAGCATGTTAAGCTTTTGTTCACTCGACATCTGTATGCTAGAATAAAGCCGACTGACTACCTTTCGTTTTGCGCAATTTATTTTCTTTAGCTGTGAAACACTCGAAAAGCCCCCACCAGACAGCGTCAAGCTATGGGTATTTCTCGCGAGTCTGAAACGTCAGAGTTGCACGTCAAACGGTACGTGCGATCTAGCCGATTACGCGAAACTCTTATTTCGTGATTACTAGTGTGCGTAAAACTAAAAACGTCCCCGCTTTGAACCATGCAAAGAGGTGCGCGGCTTATACAAAGATGCCACATACCAACTTTTCTGCGAAACGGCCGGCTCAATATACGGAAGTCTGATTTATACAATGATAAAACTTACAGTCTAGAAAATATGGTAAGTACTTTGTTAGTAAGTGTTTTGTTAGAAAGATGAATTCAAAGCTTGAAATCTCGGACGTTTTCATTGTTCTTTTCTTCATCATCAATCAAGTGATTGTTACAGACCATTTTCTGGCAGCAGAGAGTATAAGCATACACATATACTTTTGCTGTAGCTAAATGCATGGACAAAACACTTTTGAAAGCTGCACTCGATATAAGTGAGCTCAAGTTACCATTCTCTTCATCTTCCATTTGCATTGTGTCACCACGGCAGGTTCCCTCACCTTACATTATTAGGAGGTGTTGTCAAGTGTACTATACCTATTGGGCATGTTTCATTGGTTCCCAATGCTGCAAAACCCGTCTAGTATCACAACTAAGAGCAGCTACTGGACACCATGAACAAACGTCCATCATCAATTCCAAGCTCGAAAGTCACTGCAGTATCACTTTAAAAAGTGAAACATTATCAAAGCTTAATTATGTTCAGCCTGCATTATGAACTAACCTTAATAAATATGAATTGTGATACTAAATTTTTACCTTGCCACAGAATGGTAACTGAAATGTCCCACTCATGAAATTAGTTTCTACAGATGTGAGAAAAAGCTATGCCCATGAGCAGGTGAGGACAAAAAGGCCAGAATTTAGACAGCAAAAAGAAAGCAGAGCCATATGGCATGACAATATTTATAACTAGCTATCAAAGTGTAACATACCTTTAGCTAGTCCGTTCTTAGATTTCACAAATGCACTGGGTGAGGTAAGGGCAACAACTTACTGCATTACTAGTGTTGATATCTATGCTGCCCTTAAGGTACTCCAAGACCTTCTCCAGGTTGCCAGCCCGGGCAGCCCGTAAGAAGCTGGCATTTCCATCGGTCTGCAAAGAGAAAAAAATATACACAGGAATCAGCACTGTAGAGCTTGACAGGGCACAGAACTTTAATGAGTGATGCTGACTTCAGTCAGGTGATAGCGATATAAAGCTGTTTTACTATCACACTATCCTTCCTAGCTGTAAAGCCAGCAATCTCATTTCATACAACGCTCAACATGAGAATGAAGGGTGGCGTATGTGAAGTTGACTTGTTCATGTCTAGAAAGGTCATGCCACAAGCAAAAGAGACTGTCAAAATTTAATCTAACAAAACAAATTTTTCTCCATGATGGAGTATTTCTTAGTTTCCTGTTTATAACACAGAAGTAGGGTCTCAGGGTGGTATCCCAAGGATTATGATATTTTGAAAAAGCAAGGTTGCCTCATCTCACCTCAAACACCTCACAGCCAACATAATCTGTTGCTGAATGTAGATGTCACTATTTCTGTGAACACTATGTCAACATCACAACCGTCAAAAATAGTTGATGCAGAGAAAATGAACATACAGCAGGCCAACTACACTGTGAATGTATATACATAACCCCATCTAGATAATTCAACACCCTTCTCAGAGAAAATATTTCAGATGCAATTTAGAGTAGCTTTTAAAAAATTTCAATAAAGTATGCCTGTGAAACTGGAATGGGATTTTATTACCTAGATACTAGAATCTGTAAGCACCAGCATTTAAGCTTCCAGCACTTCCTTACTAATTCTTTTCGCTGTGTATGTCTAAACTTAGTTGCCCTCACAATTTTTTTATTTTTTTTTTCTATTTTAGATTTAATTAAATGTTTATGTTCACATATTGACAAGAAAACTTGTACGAGAGTAAGGTTATTTTGTATGAATTTTGTCTTAGGCTTGTGCTAAAGATTCAGGAAGAGTTTACAATACCTAGACTTCTAAAGGCTGGAACATTATGCGAAAAACAACCAAATATATTGCAAAAACCGCAAACAAAACTCGAATGGCAGTTAGGCTCCTCCCCTTTTGCAAAAATCGGAAATCACTTGAAAGATCCTGAGCACAAAATATTTTACCAATGGAGCCTCCGATTTGCTAATGGCTCGGCGCAAGAAAACTTGGGGAAGCATTGCGATTTCCATGCGGGAAATATGCCTTATGTGGCTTGTCTTCCGAAAATCACGTACAACGGTTTTTGGATGGCCCGATTTCTGTTCGATTCTCTGTCCATTTTGTTGCATCATATTTTCCAGCATTAATTAATAAGGCATATGTTTCCGGAAAAACTGCTGTTACATACGGCTTTCTCACTGATGAAAATATTTTTTCAATAAAGCAAAGAATTCTAGCAAGGACTCTCTCAGCTGGCTGGCACTTTTTTGTTTCCCTTTTATGGCACTCCAGTAGCCTCGAGACGTGTATAAAGCTAACACTGTTTGGCCACAACCACTATGCACCATGCCCAAAATAAACGTCAAAAAGCTAACCATTTCAGGGTCGCAAGGAAGGAAAAATATTGTACCATGATATGTTTGTTTTAATAATGTAATTGCTAACCGAAGGCTGCGTCATGGCTCCCAGTTTTGCATATTAGAGACAAACAAATACAGTACAATTTTCGACAAAAGCCTGCTAACAGGCATATTTCAAGATAAAAGCAATTCCCTTCCTCAAGTAATAAGAGTAAATATTGACATAATGTTATGCCAAAATTAGCAGCAGTAGCTGCTTACACAAGTTCACAACCAAGTGTGCCCCTCATACGGAAAGCCTATCTTCACAACTGCTACAGGTTAAGTAGGTTAAGTCAAAAGAAAATAATTGTTGATGCAATTGAAAGCATTCCCAAGGCTCAGGCATGTTTCTAGCAAATCTTATCTCTGGTTTCCCCATGGCAAACTAAAGACTTGCTAAAAAAAAGAGCTAAAGAAACAACTGCGCGATAAGATCAGTATTACACAAGCATGATACAGACTTCATTGTGGGGGAGCACACTTGGCTTTGAACCAACTCCTACAACTAAAATGTTTTTTTTTTTTTAATGTTTCTTTTTACAGTTTGGAACAAAGTCAAGTGCACGTCAACTCCTCTGACTAATACATAAGCTCTACAAGTTCATGCTGGCATTGACACATGTCCAAAAGTTGAGCCTAACACACATATTTGTTGAACATTAATATAGCTTGTTCCAAATAGCGTTAAAAAAACCATGGCTGTAATTAAACAAATTTACTATAGAATGGCTATCCCACATAACATGTAATGTATAGAAATGGCATAGACCAGTGGTTCTCGAATGCACAAACTCTTTGGGGTTCCTGAAAGCCAATACAAATGTGCAAATGATCTGCATTGCATTCCTTTCCTTGTTCCATAAAAATCGACAGCTGGGTAAACCTTGTCCCTGATTAATTAGGATTATAGCTTTCCATTTCTTCAAAATGTTGCAGCAGGTTGTGTACGGAAAGAGCACAAAAACTGTGGCACCAACGAAATGGCCCCAACAAAATATGTTATCCCTCTCACACTTGCTTTGGCAGAAAATCTACCGGACATAAGGTGGTGCACAAATTGTGCCAAGGTGCATTGTTGGGCAGTAGCTTGGTCTTCCCCTCCAACTATGAAGAGTCGATGCACCACTGAAATGCACCCAGATGTCTACCCCCATGGAGTCATGGAGTGCAAATCAATCTAGTTCAGCACACACTGACCAGGCAAAAAAGAGGACCTCGAAAAATGCCAGGAAGTTGGGAAAACACTTGGAAGGACACTGTCGTAACACAGCAAGCAACCTCACCAACAATGGAGCACTATCCAACTGGACTTGTTCACTCTCTTCCTTGAAGGACACAGACGGAATGTATGTCGCAAGGAGGTAACGTCCCAATGACGAAAATGAAGAAACCAACACGGAGGCCCAGGTACGGAGTGATGACCAAAAACCAGAGGGACGTCTCCGAAACTCTCCAACGTCCATTTTGAGGACGACTATTATCGGAACTCTTCACAATACCGTCAACAGAATGCCGAGTGGAGGGACGGCTACAGTGTGTCTAGACGCTCACAGGTGAGACTAGCGAAGCTCCAACAAGAGACCTTGAGCTCCCTCTCAAAGGCGTGAAATTGACCACGATGCGACACGCATGCTGCCCCTTCCCTCCCAAACGTTTCCCCCGCGCTATGCTGCCTCGCTCGATTAACTCCATCTTCCGGTACCACCCAGAGAGACGCGTTTTTGCTTGTTACGTCCAAGGGCCCACCCTAGAGCTGTCCTGTCTGTAGTATTTGGTGCCTGAACAGATTACCTGCACCGCTTAAGCAAGTAGTCTAAATTTGTGCTAAAAATATTACAACACAAAATATATAATATCTGACTGCATTGGTTGACACAGGGTGCTCAAAAGTTCATTACAATCCCAGATTTATGCTGAGTTAGTTTTGTGTAAGAATGTATCCGTTTGGTCGTAACAGGTGTCATTTCTGAAGAGTATAATATTCAAACATAACAGAAAAAGATATTTTATTGGCAAATCTGTTCATGAATGCATTGCACAGAAAACTTTCATGAAATAATGCTTAGCTGGCAGTTGCCTATTTGTTTCATAGGAAACTTGCACTTAACTCATCCCATCAACACGCTTGTAGACAGGAGGCAAGGGAATCACTTTAGATAGTGTTATCTCATAGGCTCCAATGCCAATCTTGTTTTCCCCTTTCATTGCCCTTGTGCAGGAGAGCATAATTTCTGTGTTTGCAAGCCTCTGCCAGTAAAACATTCAAAATGTCTTACGATTCCTCATGAATACCGTAGAGCCAAGAAAATGGTTTGACAAATAAACTTAGTCAGAAAAAAAAAAACATTCCTATACCGGATGAGCCTGCCTTTTTGAAGTATAACAAATGAAGGGTGCAAACAAGATTCGAGAGAAAGGATAAATATAAACCAAAGAAGAAAAGGGGGTGAGGGGTATGGGATCAATGTCAAACATCTTTGATGAATTTTTTGTGCAAGGTTTTATAGTTTATACATACATTCACTCAAACAAAGTATAATGATTGAAGAGTGCGAACAAGAGTCGAGAGAAGGAATAAATATTAACTAGTGAAGAAAAGGAAGTGAGGGGTATAAATCAATGTCAAAGACCTTGAAGACCCGCTTCAATTCTCCTCCTCCTCCTCCTCCTCCTCCCCCCCCCCTTTTTTTTTTTTTTCTTATTTGCATAGGTCACTTGGCACTGGAGGTAGACTTTTTTTTACTATTCATTTATTCATTATTTGCATAAACTGTCTTTGAGGGATATATTGGGAGTCCGAGCTTTTACAAATGTGAAGATTGCGAACTTTGAAAGAAGCTAGTGGATACTCTGCCAACAACCGGCACAAACCGAAAAAAAAAAAAAAAGGAAAGAAAGGTTAGCACCGGAGCTTGCACAAATACGACGAAACTTCGACCGTTCAAGAAAGCCCGGCCACGCAATGTCAATAAGCTAGCATAAAGATTGAGGTTGACTCTTCGGCGTCTATAATGCATGTAGCAGTAGACGTCTAAGCTGATTCATGCTATATAAATAAGGATAAAAAAGAGAGCGCACGCGCAAATGAAAAAGGGCCGAATGAGGCAGTATTTGCACCACGATTTGCACAATCACAATATCGCGTGCCGGCGTGCTTTCGGATATTGATTTTGTATCCTGCCAGCATTAACGGTGCAACCAATTTTCCTCTTCTCGCCCACGCAATGCGTGGGCGAGAAGAGCTTAAAGGTTGAGCTGCCATAAATATGCAGAAACGAGGCGAAAAGGCGAACACCAAAAGCAGAAAAGACAGCCGAGATTCTGTCGCAACGAGAAAGTGAGCTCAGTCCACAGGCGCGCTCACACTACAAAACTTTTCAACGCGGGTTAAGCTAGCACACATACACCAACTAAGGACGAGAACAGACGCGTAAGGATCGGAAGAAATGATGCACGTCAAGGGACGAGCCGAACATCGGCACGAATCCGCCGGCGAAGCGCTCGACGGAGGGGGCGCGG